ATAAAGATAAACCTATCAATAATCACTTTAAATGTAAATGAATTAAATACTCCAATCAAAAGACATAGGGTAGCTTGAATAGATAAGACAACAAGGCCCTTATATATGCTGTCTACAAGAGACTCACTTCAGATCAAAAGACACACATAGACTGAAAGTAAAGGGATGAAGAAAGACGGAAAAAGATTTTCATGCAAATGAAAACCAAAAGAAAAAAAAAAAAAGGCTGGGGTAGCAATACTTATATAAGGCAAAACAGATTTTCAAACAAAGGCTATAACAAGAGACAAAGAAAGACATTTTATATACAACAGCCAAAATAGGGAAGTCTATCCATAGCCTAAGTGCTCATGGATAGAAACTAAATAAAGATGTGGTACATATATACAATGGGATATTACTTGGCATAAAAAAACATGAAATCTTACCATTTGCAACAACATGAATAGACTTGGAGGGTATGACTGGTAAGTGAAAAAGTCAGAGAAAGACAAATACCAAATGATTTCACTTATAGGTGGAGTTTAAATAACAGATTAAATAAACAAAACAGAAACAAACTCATAGATACAGAGAACAAACTGGTGGTTGTCAGATGGGAGGGGGTCTAGAGGGCTTTTGGGGGGAAGGTGCAGAGAGTAAGAAGTACAGACTGGCAGGTACAAAATAGTCAAGAGGATGCAGAGTACACCGTAGAGGACATAATCAATAATATTATAATAACTATGTGTGATACCAGGCGGGTACTGCATGCATCAGGGGAATTCACTCTGTAAGTTACATAACTGTCTAACCATGCTGTTGTATACCTGAAATGAATATACTATTGAATGTCAACTGTGATTTTTAAAAAACTTTAAGGGAGTAAGAATGCAATACATTGCTACCCCAGGTGTTTGTACAACAAAACAAGTAGATGTCAATATTTACATTTTGAAGAGACTCCTGAAAATAAAATGGTATCACAGGCAAACTACATTAATATAGTATTCACATGTCAGCAACTCAAAAACTCTTCTTGTTACTTGGTCATCTGCCATATGACATGGCTATACGACTAATCCTTTACAAAGTTAAACTAAAATAAAGACCTGAAATCAAAAATAAGGAACACACACACACACACACACACACACACACACACCCACCCTACCCCCCAATCTCTATGGATTCTTTCTTCTTGAGCAATCACATACATTTATCCATACCATTACTTTCAAATAAAAAGAATTGTGCTTCTTAGATTAAGAAACAGGTTTATTTTGGGGTTTAAAGAGGTGCCCTGTTAGAAAAATAACTTCTCAAGGAGATGGAAGAAATCTTCCTCTTTGACAGAACAGGATTAAAGTCTAATCCAGCATGGTCTGAATCTTTGCCTGCTGATCTTGTTTTTCTGTTCAACCTTTCTCTCTGTCTCCCCATTTCCTTATTCTGATAGTATTCTCCTAGTGATTTCTAAAATCATTACTAAAAATAACTGCATATTTCCCATGGGACTCTTTACTTGGATTTCCTTTAAGCACGTCAAACCCAGTATGCTCCAGCCTAAATGCACACACCCCACCTCTACCCACCTGTTCCTGGCAGATCTGTTATATAGTACTCCATTTACCGGGTGGTCTCAGCCATACACCTGGGACTTATCCTTGAATTCTCTGACAAAATCTTTTCAATTTTCTCTCTTATGCTCTTAAAACTTCCCCCTCCTCACTGCCTCCCTGGCCCTGGCTTATCTGAAAGGCTGTGTTACAGATTCCAAAGAGGTTAGATAATAGAGTCAAATAAATTCGTTGAGTCTCAGTTCTGCCATTGTTAAGTGAGATCTTAGGCAAATTATATTTATTTGTAAAACAAAAAGAATAAAATGCACCCCAGAAGGAACTGAAGTGAGGAAAAGACCGCATGCCTCTGAAACACTCAGCTGTGCGCGGCGTATGGTGACCGCCTGGGGGGGGCGGGTGCTGACCACGGCCCTGCACTGTCGTCTGTCAGTCAGAGGCGACCACGTGAAGCGCTTGCCACATAGGAAGGACTTGATATATAATGATCTTTGTAAAAAAATTAATTTCACCTCTCCCCTTCTCTGTAAGGGCGTTACTCCAATAACCTCCTGACATCTGGTTTCAGTCATTATTCCCCACAATGCCCCTAAATGGCTCATGTTTTCAGGGTGAAATCCAAATTCCTTCTTTACGGTCTTGTCTGTCCTTACTTCTTGAGACTCAACTCTTGCCCCTACATTGGCCCCAATCCCAGCAGTGCCAGGCTGTCACATTCTTCAAGCGTCAATGCTTTTACGATGCCAGTCCTTTGGCCTAGAATCCCCATGTATTCCTTTCCCCAACCCGACTCCGACTTTCTCTCATACTACTGCCTCTCATCCTTCAAACTCAGCTCAGGACGTCTTCTCTGTCCTGCTACCTTATACCCCCAATCTGGGGTTCAAAACACAGTCTCTGTGCTCTCACATAGTCTAGTAATACCTTTCTTCTAATGATATTACAGAAAATATATTATTTTGCTATATTTTACTTGAGGTTTTTATAAGAGAAATTAGTCTGTAACATTGCTATTTTATGAATGTCCTTGTTAGATTGGTATTAAGGTTATACTGGCCCCTTTGGGAGGTATTCCCTGTTTTCTGTTCTCTGCAATATTTTATTTAAAACTCGGTGTAACTTTTTCTCTTAAATATTTGGCATCTAACATTTTTTAAAGGGATTTATTTATTTAATAGAGAGGGGAAGGGAGAGAAACATCGATCAGCTCCCTCCTGCATGAACCATGACTGAGGACCTGGCCCACAAGCCAGGCACATGCCTTGACCAGGAATGAAACTGGCAGCCTGTCACTCTGTGGAACGATGCCTAACCGAGCCACACAGGTCAGAGCAGCAACTAACATTTCTTGAGCACATACTATGTGCCAGGTTTTGTATTAAGCACATTAACATGTCACAGCCACTTTATGAGTTATATACCATTATTATCCCTGTTTTATAGAAAAGAAACTAAGACTCACAGATGTAACTTTCCCAAAGTCATACAGCTGCCAGGCAGCAGGGCAGGGACTTGAACACATATCTCTCCATGTTCTTAACCACATGCTATATTGCCTTGTAACACTTCACATAAGGTATTGTAATAATCTGTTCATTTATCTGCCTCCCCATTAGTCAGTAAAATATATCTAGTAAAATCCCTGAAGAAGGTGATCATGTCTTTCATTTCTTGTACCCTCTAAGTCTAGCATCATGTCTACCGGAGAATAGATGCCTAATAAACAGCTACTAAATGAGTGAATAAAAATATATTTGATTCTTCTTACACCTGGATGAGGTAAGGCAGCTTTTATCAGTTCCTGTTTAGAAAGCAGATGTATGTTTATTTTAGAATGCTGTGAAAGTGCTTTTGACTTTAAATCATATACTTTCCATGCAAGAGAAGGCATATATGATTTAGTTTCTTTAACCAGAAAAAAGCCAAAAATAATTTTTAATTATTTGCAAACTATCAACAAGATTTAATTTTCTCATACCATCTGTAAGACAGAGACCTTCATATTTTTTCTAGGATCAAACATATAAATCCAAAAAGAAAAAAAAGATTATCGAGTAAGAAAACGGCAGTAAAACAAAAGCCTTAAGCAGAAAAAGCTTTCAAAAAGGTCAGCAGTATAGCTAAAGAAGAATTCCCCACTGACTATGCCATGTGGTAGGCATGTCATAAGAAGATTTAGGTTAGACATAAAACACCCATAGCAAGGATGTCTTGACTTCAGTTAAATGAACTGAACTAAATTTCCATTCTATCTTTTGCTTAATGAGTCTGTAAAATGCATATATATGGGCACTATAGAAGCGAAAGTTTTTCTGATGCAGATCAGATCAGAATTGTGGCTAAACAACCAGCCTGCAGTAGGACAAACCTGGCCTACACAGAACAGCAAACTTGAAGACTTCTTTCTTCTGGTCCAGTTTGCTGCTTTTTCCCTGGCTTCTTAAGATGTAAATTAAAAACGCTGGTTTTGAGCCTTTTTTAACTCTTCTTTAAAATTCTCTTTTTCATTTAGAGTTTATATTCAATGTTATTTTGTACTAGTTCCAGGCGTACAGCGCAGCGGTTAGACGATCACATACTTTCCCAAGTGCTCCGCTGCAACGTTCCCAGGCCCGACCTGACCCCACACACATTCGTTACATCGTTGGCCAGATTCCCTGTGCCATAACACACATGTCCCTTTATTTTCAGTCTCGGTGCGTCTTTCAATCTGAAATGGGTCTTCTGTATACAGCATATATATGGATAAATAAAGTGTAGTACACTCAGACAATAGAATATTATTCAGTACTAAAAAGAAATGAGCTATCAAGCCATGAAAAGGCAGTGTAAGAACCTTAAAAGCATATTACTAAGTGAAACAAGCCAACTGAAAAGGCTATATACCGCATGGTTACAACTCAGTGACACCCCGGAGACAGCAAACAATGGAGATGGTAGAAAGGTCAGTGGTTGCCAGGGACGGGGGCGGGAGGGATGAGCAGGCGGAGCACAATTCTTCTGCATGATACTGTAATGATGGATACATGTCATTATACGTTTGTCAAAACTGTAAAAATCTACTGCGCCAAGAGTGAATCCGAATGTAAAACATGGATTATAATGTGTCCACGGAGGGTTCGTCGGTTGTCACAAACACACCACTGTGGCACAGGGTGTTAACAGGGGAGGGGGGGGAGCTGTCCATGGGTAAAGGCAGGGAATGAATGGGAGCTCTTTGTACTTTCTGCTTAACTTTGCTGTGAAGCTATAAGCATTTAAACAAAAATTAAGTCTATTTAAAAAACATAGCTCTTAACCATCGATGAATATTTCTACCCAGATTAAAAATAGTTGTTCCCACTATGGATCAGAAGGCAAAACCAGTTATTTCTAAATCTTAGCTTCCAAAGTCATCTTAACTGGTAATTTAAAGATCACAATGAGGACCAAGAAACTCACTTTTCAATTTTCCTTCTATGTTCTTTTTGCCTTTGTTGTTCTTTTACTTTTTCTCTTTCAATATCCATGAAAAGTCGTCTATATCTCAGGTACTGCTTCTGACGCTAAAGGAAAAGAAGTCAAAATTGTTAAGATTCTGTTCTCCGAGGACTTTCCAAGGAAGGAAATAATCTTTGTGCCTTACAAGAAAACTGTGATACAGGAGCCACATGGGATTAAGTCCTTATGTCCTTCTATTTATGGTGGCTCAAGATAATTTCACATACAGCAAGAGCTTTGTGTTTTTAAATACAGTTATTAAATGTTATGAACAAGTCAGAGAAAAAAGTACTAATTTAGTTTGCCCTTAGTATGGCCCCTTGTCAACAGCACTTGAGGAAATGACGATATTTGATGTGATAAAACGTATACCATATTTACTATTGCCAAGTAGTAAGTACCATGGAAGCAAGGCCACAGGAAAAATGTGAGACATATTTGATAACAGAATAGGCCCTCTAACTTTTCAGAATTAAAACCACACCACAGAAGCATACCCTGAGCCTAACATGGTGGGGAGGAGAGGAAGACTAAGGAATTGATACTTTTAAAGGGAACAAGTATAATAAAAGCAAGTGCCACTACTATGTGTGTGAAACATTCATACTTCTGGATTTATATATTCTCTTCTAAGGACACAAGCTATTCAAGGGGCACCTGTATACACAGACATGTTTTTGCCTTTTGAGAAGCTTGTGTCCTTTTAATAAAAACTATTAAAAGTCTAACAGCAGTTCTCAGTATTGAGAATACAGCACCATCATCCATGGTACTTTTTTAAAACACAGATGCCCCACACCTATCTTTTCACATACTGAACAAATACATCTGAAAAAAGCTCCACCTCTGATTCTGGTACATGGCCAGTGTTAAAAACTGTTGGTGTAAACTAACTTTGGATTGAAAAGAAAAAAAGGAAGCCATAAATTAAAACTCTAATTCCTTTCAATAAGTTATTGCCACAGATGTCACTAAGTGAAGAAGTTCACTAGGATTATATCTCTGATTTCACATTAAGGCACCGAAATCCTAGGAGCTTAGAAGAGAAATTTCACTTATTACAATGACTCAAGTAATTTCTTTGCCTTTATTTATGGAATTTGTAGTATTAACTCTGAATTATTAGGACACAACAAACATTTCCAATTTCACAAATACTATTACAGTGGAAATACTGGTGTCCAAAAGCAATTATCATTACATACCTCTCTCCTGTCTTCTTCTTGATCTACTCCAAACTGAAGTGCCAGTGGAGTCTGGAATTCAGTGTTCAATCTTGATTGATATTTATCATAAACCTGTTAGAAAGTCCATTCATACAAAATGACAATATTGCCAAAAGCTAGCCCTGTGTACACTTTTGATATTTTCATCTATTGATTCTTTTTTCCTGCAACCTTGGGCTCAACTAAATAAAAAACAAAAAAAAAATATATAAAAGAATAGAATCAAAAAAAGAATAAACAGGAGCAATTTCAAAAGGAATTAACCAAATAGAAAACGATCAGCCAAAACAAAGATTCAAGTTAAAAACATGGATGAACTAATAACAAATCAAAGTGCTCAGAATGAAAGCTCTTCTAAAGTGGTCACTTGAAATCATTCTACCATGAGTGTGCTTGGGATTGAATCCAAGATATAAAACCAGCACTCTGAAGGTATCAAATATATAATCACTTTCAATTTACACAACTCTCTTGAGAATAAGAGCCTGAAAATACCATAACAAACAACTGACATGGCAGGGGGGAAACTGGAGCGAATTTCTCCCATGTTACTAAGAAAACAAATACAGTTTTGATGAAAACTGGTCTTCATCAAAATTACTACAAATTGCTACAAAGGAAACCATCAAGAATGTGAAAAGACAACCCATAGAATGGAAAAAAAGAATTTATAAATCATATAACTAATAAGGGATTGTATGTAGAATATAATAAAAACTCACATAACTCAACAGTCAAAAGACAAATAACCCAGTTATGAATTAGGCAGAGGTTCTAACAGTTTTCCAAAGAAGACAGACAAATGGCCAAGAAGCATAGGAAAAGATGCTCAATTTTAACCATCAGAAAAGTGTAAGTCAAAACCAGAGTAAGATACTACATGCCACCCATTAAAATAACTCTAATTAAAAAGACAGGTAATAACAAGTGTTGGTAAGGATGTAGAGAACTGGAACCCACATATACTGCTGGTGGGAATGAAAAATAGTATAGTCATTTTGGAAACGAGTGTGGCAGCTCCTCAAAAGGCTAAGCACAAAGTGTCACATGCCCCCAGCAATTCCACTCCTACATATATACCCAGGAGACATGAAAACATACATCAACCAAAAAGTTGTACACAAATGTACACTGCAGCATTATTCATAATAGCCAAGAAATGGAAACAATCCAAATGTCCATCACCTGATAAATGGATAAATAAAAGGTGCTAAATGCATAAAATTAAATGTTATCTGACAGATAGGAATGAAGTACTACTATGTGCTATAGGGTCAATGAACTTTGAATACATCATGCTCAGTGAAATAAACCAGTCATAAAAGGCCACATATGACATGATCCCATTTATATGAAATGCCCTGAAGAGGCAAATCTATAAAGACAGAAAGTAGGTTAGGGGTTGCCTAGGGCTGGGGGTAGAGGTGAGGGGAAAAGGGCTGCTAATGAGTACAGAGCTTTTTGTGGTGATGAAAATGTCCTGAAATTCACTGAAGCAATATTTGCACAAACTTAGCTGAGGCTGAACAAGGTTTCGTTTCAGCCTTCATGCTGTAAACAAGAATTGTTTTCAAGCTATATTTAGTGCCAAGTTTTTTGCTTTTTGTTTGTGATTTTGCTGTTTAAAATGGCCCCCAAGCACAATGCTACAGTACTGCTAGTATTCCTAAGCCTCAGAAGGCTGTGATATGCCTTGTGGAGAATATACATGTATTAGAAAAGCTTTATTCAGGTATAAGCTACAGGGCTATTGGCCCTGAGTTCAATGTTAATGAATCAACAATCTACAGGATGGGGCAAAAGTAGGTTTACAGTTGTTCATATGGAAAATAGTACAATAATTAATAAATAATAATACAAGAATAAACTGTTTCACATACTCACAACTCCAAACTTACTTTTTCCCCACCCTGTATATTAAATAAGGGGTCTTTAAACAGACATTCACATAAAACAAGGTAATGTTTTGATCAGCTGACAAAAATCGGATCAGAGGCTCGCAGGACCCTAACCCTGGGCCCTCCCCTAGGTGCAGCGGCTCGTCATTTGCTAACACTCAGTATTGTGTCGGAGGCGACTTTATAGACCATAACTACCGTGAGTAACAAGACGTGACTCTACACCTCAGACAGGCTATCATTTTTAAAGTTAGTAGTTTGTCTTAGATAAAATTGGACAATAAGGAATAGCAAAAGGCTAATGACGGTTCTCTCTGGAATTTTAGTGGGGTTTTTTTTCCTCTCTGTGTTAACTTTTGCTACAATAAAAATGAAATTATTTTCTGCTTTCAAAAAAGTAAGACCAATTGGACCGTGGCACTGGTGAAGGAGTAGGCCCACTACCGGCCTCCTTCCACCTCACTGATCATGACTGCAAATGTGGTTTCTGGAGAGTGTAGGGGTGGGTATCCTGAAAGGAGCAAGCTAAAAGTGGATGCTTTAATTCTGCGTGTAAACTGGCACATACCCCAGAGTCACCCTGAGCGGTGTGTGCACGGGCTGGGCCTACAGGAGTCCAGCGATGGCTCTGAGACCTGGACTAACGCTGGAGCCACTGCCTGCAGACAGTGAGAAACTACCTAGAGTCTGAACCTACCCAGGTCGATGCTGCAGCAAACACTAAAGATGCCAACACTCTGTAGAGGATTTTAACAGAAACCAGAGTCTTACAATGCAACATTCAAAACTGGACCCAGAAAAAAGGGTGATAAGAGAATCCAGAATATGGGTCCAAAGAGAGACAACGCTTCCTCTGAGGTAGTAGGAATGGGAAGAATGGCAAAAAGTACATGGCTGAGGCAGTTATTGCGCAATGGCCCCTCTTTTCCTTTTGAAAGCCAGGGAGTACAGGGGTACAGCAAGAACTTTAAGAGGTGTTTAAGGCTTAGAATCATCAGTGTGGGCTACAGGAAGGGCAGGCAAGAAAAATGCTAAGCAGTACTAGGGACGCAGCTGGGACTGTAAACGCTGGTACAAATGTGGTTCACATCCACATGAATAAAGTGTTTTCTCCCGTAAGGCTCAATTATTTGGGAAACTAAATGAGGAAGGACTGGCCGAGGGCTGAGGATTTTCTGGGCTAGTATGGCAGAAGGACAAGAAGAGGCTGTGGCGACAAAGCCGCGCTCTCCATTGAACAGGGTCAGGTACCCCTCTTCCGTGCCCAGCCAGGGCCGTGTGCCTCCTCCGTGGCTGGTTATGCGGCTCCAGGGCCATCTGCTTATGTCTCAGTCTCTCTTCTTTGGAAATGTGAGTGCTGTGACTTGTTCAGAGCTCTGTCTTTGACATTTAGTACCTAAATAATGGCTAACTCCCCACAGGTGCTCAATAAATGTTTGACTCACTAATTGATTCAGAACGTATTTAGGAAGAGACCAGCAGGCACCAGCCCTGTGCTAAAGGCTGCCCATGCACTGGGGAGCCAAACAGGCGTGGTGCCTCTCCCCGTGAAGCTTGCGGGCCAGTGGGGAACAAGTAAACAAGCAAACAATTACTGAGTGTACAGTGTCTTGTGTACTGAGAAGGAAGCAATGCAGGCATACAACAAATAAGAGAGGAGACCTGTTTTTGATCACTTGCTCAGGGCAGTCTTTTCTAAGGAGGTGACATGTTAGCTGAAACCTGAAGGATAAGAAAGGATCAGTTTTGTGAAGAAAAAAGAAAAGAATATCCAGGTAGACCAAAAAAAAAAAAAAAAAAAAAGCAAGAGACCTGAGGTAGGAAAGAGCCAGGCCTACTTCAGGATACATAAATGACGATGCAGGAAAAAACACAGACAGCATAGCATGCCCTCAGGCCAACCTTACAGACCCAAACTAAAAATCCCAAGGTGGCAGTTCAGTTCTGAAAACCGCAGCCCAAAGCCTGCTTTCTGCCTTTCTGCCTCCTTTTCTTCCTGCTCTCTTAAAAGGGCCAAGAGGAAATTTCTCTTTATCACTTTCACATATTGTAACAATGCTGGTTGCCTGAAGGCTGTTTTTAAAATAACATCATAAAACCACAATACAGAAATTATACAGACAGTGGTAAAATTCTAATGGGAATAAGCTAGACTTCAGTTAAGCCATGGAAAAGTCAAAATAGGCCAAGGTATTTTAATATTCTCTTGAAGGGCTATTGATCTTAACTCAATACACCAAAACTTTGGCAATATACCATAACTATAACAACCTTCAGCCCGAATTATGAACAGTGTATTTCTTGGTGACCCTGCCTTATGCTCTACCAGTTTACTGATAGAGATCGAGTCTGGGTCATCGGATAGAAGATCCTCCTGACCTCTCCCCGCAAACACCACTCATTTCTTCTCCTCTCACACCATGAGTACAATGGCCACTAGAAATACACCTTTTATAAAGAACATACATATAAAACACAAGTTTTCCAATAGGAAACAGGGCTCCTGACAATACCCCAGGTTTCAGTGAGAACCATAGAATACCCTCAGGCCAGGCTAGGTTTTACACCCTATGAAATAAATGAGAATCTGCTTTGGCTGGCCTTACCACTCCCAGCTCACTAAGTGCCTGTGATCCTGTTTTAATCCATTGCTCACTGTCTGTGGTCTGCTCTACCTGTCTTCTGCCCAAAGTCTCTCGCCGGTGCTTGCGTGGGAGGTACTGATGGCTGTGCAGACGCAGATCTCTCTTCTTTTCCGCTGTCCCGACAGACGGCTGCCGCTGAGGGTAGAAGCTCTAAAAGACACGAAAACACCCACCCCACCGCATGAGCAGTGGCACGATGGGAGTGAAAATACTGCAATGGTAGTAGCCCTGAAGTCATCTAAATAGGTCAGAATGGTCTGATACATTATGGCATAAAAGTAGACATACTTCTTGCCAGTATTATGGATCTTAACAGTATCCACAAAGCAATTGTTAAGTTTCTTCATCTATAAAACAGGGATAATAATAGAATCTATGTCCCAGGGCTATTGTGAGAATTAACTGAAACAATGGACACAATGTTCTAAATGTTAGCCATGGTTAAGTGCTTAAGAATGTAAGCTGTTAATAATAATATTATTATTGATATTATTAATAAGAGACAATACTATTGTCATCATCATCACTGTTGTTAGAAGCATAGCTCTGGCAAGCTCAGATCTAACTCCAGTTTACTTTTTGCTGCTTACTCTTTACTCTGCTCTACCTGCTGCCAGAGCCTGGGTCCTGGGTTTCACGTAACACATATTCATGGCCCTACAGAAAGAACTCCCCCCGTTCCATGCTGACAGTCGCATTATGCGAGGCCTGCTCATAGTTCCTGTGCTGAGAGGCAACATAAACACTGAACATCAATTTTCCAAGCAGAAGCATCATGCCAGGGCAACAATAGGTCAGCATGGTGGGATTGATACCTCACAGAATGAGAGGATATTATATCTTTGTCCATTACTACTGACCTGAAAACCAACCCCCTGGAGCAGTTACGGCACTGCCCTGTCAATCTGGAGCCACGACATAAGCAATGTACTGCCTGCTCGTACTCCCCGCTGCAGCACGCTCCACTTATTCTCTGGGAGAGGCTCGGTCTCGAGTCCCGGGCAAAACATGCCCACGGCACTCCAGGACCAATTGCTCCTTCAAAGTCTCATCTCACACAACATGAGCGTTGCTCAATACACTTGTTTTAAAGGAATAACAAAATACACAACTAACTGTCTAAGCAGAAATGAGCAAGTTAGTGGCAATAATGTAGGCTTCAGTGACAATCCCAGAATAATGATACCAGGATAATTTAACAGGAGAGAGAGAGAGAGAGAGAGAGAAAGAGAGAGAGAATGTAATATAAAATTGCCAAACACACATCAAAGTAGAAGTAAAAACCATATAATGAATCCCAAGATACCCACCACCCAGCTTCAACAATTAGCAACATTTTTTCATTTATCTCTTCTCCCACTTTTTTCCTGGAGTATTTTAAAGTAAATCCCAGATTATTCTGGCACTCTTTTTTTTCCTGCATGGGGAAACTCTTTACTCAACAACACATTTGAAAAAAAAATAAAATAAAGCAACAAGGCAATATTTTTATAATATTGCCAGCATTTTCCCAAGGTAAAGCCAGGACACAAGCGGGTGTCATTTCCACAAGTACTTCCTCCTCGGTGCCCCTAGTATTCTGTGCACAAACACTAGAGGTGGTACAGTTCAGGAAGCGTTAAGGCAGCAAACAGCTTGTTGGAGCCTCAGCGCAACTGGCGCGCGAGCTGGATGCCTGGGTTTGGTGTGCAGCTTCAGCTGACCAAGAGCAGAACCCCTTCAATACCCCTTCAGTACTTGTAAAACAATGTGTAAGGTCAAATAGATATGCTAAATGCTTTGTGTTAAAAAACAAACAAATTCACTGTTAACCAATCAATATTATATAAAACCTCTTATTTTACCCAATGACAGAGGTATGCTTTTTCACCTGGAGTTTTCAGAATGGGCTCATTTTGAAATAACTGAAAAGATTATATTCTCAGCCTAATTCTAGGAGCCTTAGTTCTGTGTATCTTATGTATCTATGTATATAGCTTGACAAGTACCAGCCCAAATCTTAGGTGATCCTGTCTCGGTGACTGTTTCAGAAAGCGACAGTCCCCCCGACGGTGCTGTGCCTTACCTGGTCTCCAGGGGGGGCCTGAGGGTTCCCATAATGATGGCTCTCCAGCGGCAATTCGTCCCTCTCTCTCTCTTCTCTCATAAAGTATGGCGGCTGCTTGAGAAACGTGTTCTAAAGGAACAGCACAAACAGAAAAGAAACTGTCCACTCAGGGTGGCGTGCCAATCACAGCGTGGCTGGGCTTCAGTGAGAAGTCCAGGGAAACGGGAACAGGTGAGGATATCCTGACACACTCTCATCTGAACAAGGATGTTACATTTTTAGCTCACCTCTGTAGACCTTAAGTTTTAATCCCAAACTGAGTACATGACAAACTCTTCAGATTTTAAGTAACTGAAGATCTGCTACTTCTTCCTACATTATGTGAGGGGCAATTACCGCAAGGTAATTCTATGGATTTCAGCAAAAGTTGTAACTTCATCTTAGTAAATTTGAACAGTCTAACTGATTCCACAATCAGAATGCAAACATGATTTATCAGCCTTGTCAATGACAGAACTAATTTGACTGGTACAGTTCATTAGACCAGGGACCTTGGCACCTTACTCTACACTTCACATTACCAGTTGCTGAGAACATCTAAAATCCAGTCACTTTATTTCCCGCTTATCTCTCTTATTCGGCTCTACCTGGTCTCTGACGAAGGCCTGGTGCTGGAGTTTAGGAGTCAGAGACTGATAACCTGCCAGAGAAAAGCCATCTTTCCCTTTCTCATTTATCACATTATAACATGGCTCCTTGAAGCGTACGTTGTAAAAGAAAATATACAAGCTGTAAATTGTTTAGTGGGAGTAATATGATAGCAATAATATTCCAGGCTTCATTGAGAACCTTATGGTGATTTTTAAAACTCAGGGTAGTGTGAAATTCTATGGAACAAAACAGAAAACCATACTTTTTGTCAGTTCTAAAGTCTAGCTGAGGACAACCTTTGCAAGCTCCAAAGTAAACCCTGAACACTCGGTTCCTGCTGGCCTCTCCCCTTTCTCTGTTCTACCCTGCCGCTGACGGAGGCCTGATCTTGATGTCTGTGGGAAGATCCTGATGGGCGTTCAAAGGAAATACCTCTCTCCCTCTCCTACCAATCAAAACAGATGCTCGCTCTTTAAATTGCTTTCTAAAAAAAGAACAAAAAATCTCAACTGTTCAGTTAAGAAAGACAGTTTAACCATTAATACTTTAGGCTCTAGTGAGAATTTGGAGTTATCTGAGGTCAGAGTTTAACTGGACACCTTAGGGAATAAAACAAAACTCTATACTCTAGAACACACAAGCCCAGTCACACCCCTAAGAAATTAACTTCTTGTTGGTCCCTTTCTTCTCCTTTGGCTTAAGTGACCTCTGGTAGAGGGCTGGCCTTGGCACCTGGGTTAACAGGTGCTGCGGGAGAGCGGAGGGCTACTCTTTTAACCCATCTTTCAGCAGTCGAAGCAGATGATGGCTGCCAGAGATAGTTTCCCTAATGAAACTATCTAGCAAAGGTAATATGCTGCCGATATCATTTTAAGAATTAATGAGAACTCTAGAGGTTTTAGAAATCAACCAGGAAATTATTTTCCCAACTATGAATCTCCAAATCAGCTGCAATATAGTCCCCACAAATCCAACTCCAAAGCTTAAGCATCTTATTTCTTCTTGTTATAGCTCCTTTCCACTCAATTTTACCTGGTATCTGGGTAGAAAGTCCTGGTCTTGACATTTGGGCAGAATATTCTGTTCTTTGGACAAAACATGCTGGTCTTTGGGTAGAAAATGGTGCTCTTGAAATTTGAGTAGAATGTGCTGGTCTTTGGGCATAAAATCTTCAACTGGACATTCTGGTATAAAATCCTGGTCCTGACATTTGGATTGAACAGTCTGGTCTTTGGGGAAAATGTGTTGGTCTTTGCATAGAAAATGTTGATCCTGACATTTGAGTAGAATATTCTTGTCATTAAGTCGAAAGTTCTGGTCCTGACATGTGGGTAGCATATTCTGGTCTTTGGGTGGAAAAGCCTGATTTGGAGATAGAAAATCCTGGACTTCCAACTTAATACTTCCATCTTCTAGTTCAACACTCTGGGCTTCCAGCACAATACCCTGGGTTTCTGGCTTAACTGCCTGGGCTTCAAGCTCAACAGCCTGGCCTTCCGGCTCCATAGCCTGGGTACGTGGCTCAGCATTCTGGGTTTCCAGCTCAGTACTCTGGACTCCTGTCAAATCACCTTGCGCTTCGGGAAGATAATCCTGGGTTTCTGGCAGAATATCCTGAAGGCCCTGAAGATGTAACTTCTTTGGCTCTTCTTCCTTCATCACAGCAAATAATGGATTTTTGAACTGTATTTTCTAAAAGTGAATATAAACATCAAATATAGAATTCCAGGTAGTAGCAACACTCTTTAGGTTTTTCACAAGACTCCTAAAATAATCTTAAAAGAATATGGTAGTCAAACAAATACTACAATAAAATGTGAAATCACAGTCTTCGCTCAACTTAACCTAAATCTACAATCCCAAACCAGTATAACAGTACTGGCATCCCTAGTCCAAATCCATAATTAGTTTAATTTTTATTATACTGTCTCCTTTCACTCTGCTTTACCCGAACTTTGCTGAAAGGTTTGTTCCTGTCTTCCAAAAGCAGATCCTGTTGGTCCGACCAAATCAAATTTTCTCTCCCTTTCTTGTCTATTATCATAGATGAAGATTCCGCAGAGTCAGGTTTCTAAAGAACACACAAACAAAATTTTTTTTAAGTAAAATTTTTTTAAATCCCAAATGTATCTATTTCAGGAAGAAACAATGTGACTGCAATAAAATCCTAGGCTTCACTACTAGCACTCTACTAATACAGTTTTAGTAGGTCAGTATAGTCAAATATTATAAAAACTGGACATTACAAGAGAAGTTCAAGAAGGTACACTGAAAACTATAAAACATTATTGCAATGAATTAAAGATGATCTAAATAAATAGAAAAATCCCCATCCTCATGGATCTCTGAAGACAATATTGTAAAGACAACAATAAACTCTTACATTTACAGTCAACTACTTCCCAACAAGCACGTAAAGACAATTAAGTGGAGGGAGAATAGCTTTTTCAAAAAATTGTGTTGGGACAAGTAGATATCCACACGCAAAAGAATTAAGTTAGAACACTTCCTCACATCATATATAAAAATTGAACCACAATGGATCATAGACCTAAATGTAATAGCTAAAACTATAAAAGTATTAGCAGAAGGCAACCTTCATGACCTCAGATTAAGCAATGGTTTATTGCTTAAAGAACCAAAAGAACAAGCAACAAAAGAAAAAAATGGATAAACTGGATTATACCAAAATATAAAAATTTGTGCTGCAAATGATAGCATTAAGAAAGTGAAATGACAACCCACAGAATGGGAGAAAATACTTGCAAATCATACATCTAATTTATACCCAGAATACATAAAGAACTCTTATAATTTGATAATAAAGAGACAACCCAATTTAAAAAACGGGTATCACATTGACATTTTCTCCACAAGAAATATATAAATGGACAATAAGCACAAGAAAAGATGCTCAAGATCATTAGTAATTAGGAAAATACAAATAAAAAATACAGAGAGATACCACGTCATACCGACTAGGATGGATATACTCAAAAAGATGGACAACAACAAGTACTGGAAAGGATGTGAAGAAACTGAAACCCTCACATACTACTGATGGGAAACAGCAATAACAATAATAAACACAAAGTTATCATATGACCCAGAAATTCCACTAACTAGAGAAATGAATATCCACACAAGAACATGGACACAGCTGCTCATAGCACAATTATTCATAAAAGCCAAGACGTGGAAACAATCAAAATTTCCATCAACTGACTGATGGATGGATATACCAATGAGATATAGCCATACAATGGAATATTATGCAGCAATAAAAGGAAGTGTTGATACATGCTGCAACATGAATGAACTTTGAAAATATTATGCAAAGTAAAAGAAGCCAGTCACAAAAGACCACATATTATGATTCCATTTACATGAAACACTGCAATAAGCAAATCTACAGAGACAGAAAGTAGATTAGTGGTTCCTTAGGCCTGGGGACAGGGGCGGGAGAGAACTGAGAATGACGACAGGTACAGGGCTTCTTTCAAGGGTGAAGAAGATGCCCCAATTTAGAGCATGGTAGCAGTTGCACAACCCTGTGAATATACTAAAAACCACGGACCTGTACATTTTAAATGGGTGAATTGTTAGGTATGTGAATTATATCTCAATAAAATTGTTAAAAAAAAACAATATTAGTGATTAGCTTAATCCTTAAACCCATCCTTCAATAGCTGTGGATAGTTCTAACAAGCCATTTTTTCCCCTCCACTTTTTACATTGTCCTACCTGACTTCCCATATATTTATGGTACTATGAGGTACTTAAAAGACCTTAATAAACCTTAAAGGGTAATTCTCCTTTTGTTCCTATATTTATCCTGATGGATGCTGGTTTCCTACAAAGTGCTCTGTGAAAAAAAAATTAATACAAATATAAATGGTCTAGAGAAAGCAATATGCTCATCAGAGTAAGTTGAGTTTTTATGAAAGGTCTGGCATGATCCTAGCAGGTTATGGTAGGCTAAGATAGAATAAAGAAAAACAAACAGCTCTACTTCAAATGTACAAACAAGTCATTCACACATCAAACATGGAGTGAAACCAGCTGTCATTTATAAATGACTATTTGCCGCATAATAGCCAGTAACAATTTCGGAAGGCTTATGATTCTGTTTTGGTGACCTGACAGAGGACAAGCAAGTATATCTTCTATTTATATCTTCAACTCTGAAACAAGAGCAACCAGACAGGTTCTAATGTCAGTAAAAATAAGTCTAACAAGGAAATGAAACCAGAGTTCACATAGGTTATAAATTGTTCTCCTTTCTGACTGAAAGATCACCACTTCAGACAACTGAGGAAGTAGAAAACTTTAGATTTGAGGGAAAGACTACATACTTGATATAAGTGATAAGGAAAATTTCACTAATTTCTTAATCATTCTAAATTACATGGAGTGGATTTATTTCTGATCTTATATCTGAAAAACACACATGAACTCTTTGGAATCAAATAGCCAGCCTGAATTCTTCATCATCATCATCTTCATCTTCATCTTCATCATCATCATCATAATGTATTACACTTAAATGGCACTTTTGACGTATAAAACTGGTTTATCAAGAACCTTATCTCAGACTTAATCCTCCTCCTTTCTACTGGATAATTATTTCAGTCAGATCTGTGAAGAGTACTCTTTGTGGAAAAATAATTGAACAGTTTGAACATGCTCCATACAATACAAAATATCAGCCTCTAAAACCTGATAACCCTTTTTATTATTAGAATACCCTGGTTTATTAGAATGTGTCCAATCGCCTCACTCTAACAGGACCCTGGAGTCAATCAAATGGCCCAAACTATAGTTCAGCTAAATCCAGGGTAAGTTCCCTGAAAAGAATTTAAGTACAAAAGAAACCCTACGTTGAGTCACAATAAAGCAATGCTAGAAAAAGGTAACCATTCTGAAGCATCTAAGATGGAATACCATATATGGACATATACCCACGTCCACTCGTGTTTTTATATTTAACTATAAATTTCTTAATTAACACTGGAGAGGGAGACATTATAGTTTAGTATTCTACCAACTGCAGACATATAAGTGACAAATGTTTTTGACTGTTGTGTTGAAATACGTAAGGAAAAAATACAAAACCAAAATATATATGCATAATCTAGGAAAATGTAAAAGAATACCTAATAGGAAGCAAAACTGAGAAAAAACTAAATAAGACACAGAGTTGATGATGGGGGAAAAAACAAGTAAAAAGACTAATGGTCCATTTTTCTAGATTCTGCCTATAAAAACTTGAAATTAATCCAAAATTAAGTAAACCCAGGAAAATACATGAGTTTAGCATCCAATTTTGTGAACAACAAAATAAGTAGGCACCAAAACAATGCTATTTTACAAGTATAGTCTTAAACATCATTTTAAGTCTAGGTCCATATTTGGGTTCCAATTACTTGTACCTTATCTTCTGAATCAAAACAATTTCTTTTTTTTTTAACTGGTACTTTTTTCCTAATTCAAAAGCAAAATATATACAATGTAGAACATTTTAAAAGAAAACCAAGAGAAGAAAATAAAAATCACCTGTAATAAAACCACTGAGAAATAATGAGTATTAACTTCTCGGTTTATGCACATAGCACTCTCTCCCCATCTCTTTATTTTACTTTATTTTTTCCATAACACTTACCGTTGTAAATTATACGTAGAATATAATAGATCTCCGTTTGCTTACTCATCACGTGCCTCCTCACCACACAGAGGCTCCTTGAGGGGCCTCTGCCCACCCTTCACCGCTGTGAACCCTGATCCTAGAACACCTTGGCGATTGCAGTTGTTCCTTCAATGCTTGTTGCATGAATTTTTAACCGAGATTATATTGTATATAATTTTGTATCCTAGTTATTCACTGAACTTTATATCACAGACACTTTTCCTTGTCTGCAGATGTTCTGTAAAAGCATATTTTTTAGAATGGCTATATAGAAATACATCATAATTTTTTAACCATTCCCTACTATTGGATATTTCAGGTTATTTCTAATTATTTTACAGTTCTAAATAATGGTGAGATGGGATATAAATAAATATTTATCTGCATCTTTATCTCTATTTTAAAAACAATTTATTAAAAATTAATTTACCTCTTGGGTGGGGAAGCTCTTTCTTGTATCATCTGGAAACACCGATGTATTTTTTTCACTAACAGTTTTAAAGGATGCCAGCTGGTGACGCGCCTGTTTCATGGTTTGACTAAGCTGCCAGGAAAAGGGGGAAAAAAGCAAACAAAAACTGGATAAAGTCTTAATACCAATTCCACTAAAGTGTTCCAACCTGAAAACAGGCCCCTACTATTAAAAAATGCCAGACCTAAGACAAGAGGATTACTTGCAAAGGAGACTGTGATCTGCTGATAGTGTTTTCACAACATCATTTTGTTATTCTAAGAGACTGATTTCATAAATTGATTATAAGTGCTATTACTCCAATTACTTCATAATAATGTTTTATGTACACAAAAATATAAGAACATAAAAGTCGGAATTAATTCACTTAGAAATTACTGAACAGACACATTCCTTATCTTCTACCCATCTTCTCAGTAAGGAATTATTTCTTTATTTCTTCAACTGGTCCTTGCACACCTAATTACCTTTTATCACTCCTTGCTAGATGTCTCTATTCCTAGTCCTCCTAAAATTCTTTTTGTTCTATTTACCTAAACCCTTCCTTCACCACTAAGTTAACTAAGATCTCAAATGCAAACATCTCAGTAGAGCCAATTAGTTTTAAGTACTCTAAATAATAGCTGATAATGTTAACACTAAATATGTTGACTTTGTGTTTATTTCTAATCTCTACCCAGAATTTCAGTAAGCATTTATTTTTATTTCTTTTTCAAAGACGCACAGCCTACTTTATAGTTCACAAATATGTAAAGAATATTCCTTTAAGGAAAATACAGAAATGAGCAAAGTACCTTCTGTTTTAGGCTGAGCACTGTATAGCACATGGAAGAAAAGCATATCCTTGTGTCACTCAGTAAAATTACATCAAAGCAGGGACCAGTTCTAACCTAACCAGTGACAGTTTAAAGAGATTAATTCTCTCTTCAAGGGAAATCATGACTATCATTTACAGATATAAATAATAAATGCTTTATGATTTTTTACTAATAGTGATCTAGGGATAAAAACACTCTCGCTACCAGCCCAGTTTCCTTTTAGCATTTCACCTCTGTTTTGTCCTTGCTTCTAGGTCTATACCTCAAGCCAGAGAAATCAGCTTGAAACATCAGTCTTTATTCTAAGAATAAGATTTCTACATTTGGTTGGCATAGAGTGGCTGAAAAAGTCACGACCGTTACTTACAACGCAAAAGGAGATATATGTGCAGTTGAGGTTATGAAAAAATACAAAGCCATGAATATGCCTGTTTGTACTCATTGCCAAGTGTGATGCATGTTATAGCCCTGCACAATGTAACAGATTTAAATTAGAGTACATAATTTCCCTTTCCCATCAACCCTAAACCTCTGTGAGAGTCACTGATTGATTTTAGTCCCTTAAACAGGAATTTCAACTGGCCCAGCAGTTGGAATATACTTTACATTCATTCTGTTTCTCTGTCATTAATAAAACCCTTCATCAAACCTCAACACAAAGACCCTCTCAACAGCCTGCTAAGAGAAATGAACAATGACTACCTGCAGATATCCAGTCCTAATCCCTAAAACCTTTAAATGTTCCTTTAAAAGGAATAAGGACCTTTGCAGGTGTGTATAAATTGAAGATCTTGAGATGAGGAAGTAATACTGGATTATCCAGATGGGCCCCAAATGCCATCACAAATATCCTCACAACAGCCAAGGAAGATTTGACATACAGAACAAGGAAGGTGACGATGTAGAGACAAGGGCAGATATTGCTATGCTGTGGCCATGAGCAAAGGAATGTCAGCAGACATCAAAAGCTGGAAGAGCCAATAAACAAATTTCTCCCTAGAATCTACGGAAGAAACACAGCCCTGCTGGCATCTTGATTTTGTCTCACTGAAACTGACTTTGGACTTCTGGCCTTCAGAACTGTGAGAGAATAATTTCTGCCATTTGAAGTCACTAAGGGTGAGGTAATCTGTTACAGCAGCCACAGAAAACTAATATAAGGAACAAAGTTAATAAGCATCAAACACAAACAAAAAATATGAGGATGTTACTAATTATGTAAAATGAATAGGTATATAAATACATTTCTCTTATTGCAAGATAATGGTGATTATTACATATATTTGTAAGTATATGTATGTATATATGCATCTGTATGTGTAACATGTGCATGTATTTACATATGTTAGAACATACCTATGTGTATGCATGTGTTGTGTATATGTGACCACTCAAAACCTAAAATTTGACCCAAAATCTTTTCTATTCTGAAAGCTCAGACACAGTTTTCAATCTTTTGTAGCTTTTATTAATAAAGACTGGCACTGAATCTTTAACCAAGATTTAAAAAACTCCCCGATGGAAATTAGTTATTCATAATTACGTAGAGAGCCTGGTAAATATAACTATCAATAAGCAAAGAGATTTCTGATTGATAAAATGAAAATGTACTATACAAATAAATTTTGAGGCTTAAACCTTAAAATCTAAGGCAAACAATGATCACATAGTAAAATGAAATTTAAAACTTCAAATAGGTAGGATACAATTGAACAAATATATCGATTATATATCTATGGCATTGTTTCCCACTCATGTTTCATATTTTCTTCAATTTTTAAAAATTTGTTCATGTAATTTTTTAGACAACTAGGAATTAGAAAGAAAGAATTTATATGTAACTATATAAATGAAAAACATAGTGTAGTAACGCTACGTAGGTGACGGGAAAAAAAGAGTATAGATGAGTCTCACATTCATAGAATTTCACTTACTCCATCGCCACGCGGGTCTAATAGCAATTGTAAATGTCTGTTAATGCCATAAAAACCTACCCAAAGTTACAATCAAAGTACAATGCAGTTTATTTGCAAACGATAGCGGACTGAGTTTTAGATGTGTTAAACCTTTCAATGGCTACAAAAATACTATACGATTAAAACTTCAGTTCACAGGAGTCTCTAATTATAGCCCATGAACCCCAGTGCAGTGCATCCACTGCGTTAGCTTTCATTTATCCTTAAGTAGGCATACCAAGCTACAGGCTGGCTAGTAACCTAGACCTAATACAAAAAGGCAGTCTGGGCCAAAACAGATTCCTTATCTTACTAAATGAATTAGGAAGTATCAGAGACAGGAACTGAAACTAAAAGGTCCTAAGCTGGAAAAACAAGATTAAAGAAGTCTCGAGTATGCCGAAGTTTCAGAGCTGTGATGATGAGAATACCAGGTAATAGTAGGAAAATCAGTAGAGAGAAGCATACGTGTAAACAGGGTGACCAGCTCTCCCAGTTCGCCAGCAGCTGTGCAGGTTTAGCACTGCGAGTCTCAGGTCCTGGGAGACCCCTCAATCTCAGGCGAATAGAGAAGGCTGGTCACCCTCAGAGAACAAGCGAATCAATCGAGTTAACGATCAAATATTTGTGTGAAGGTCAAAGATCCCACGCTGTTGGGATCCTCGGAGCTACCACAGATCCAGAAAATCTCTCTGGCCGCAGGCTCTTAAGGGAAGTTAGGATTTGTGTGAGTTTGTGAGTCTGCCTTTACTACTCCACGCATATCCTTAAAATAAATGTGCCCCTTGCTTGGGTTAGCCTGAATTCTTGCAGCCAAAAATGCCTCACTGAAATAGTGTTATTTTTCACTGGCAGATTAAAGAAAACTTAGCGGGTTATTCTACACCTCTTAAACCTTTACAAAACTACCAAAATTAATTGTAATTTCCCAGTGTGAAAAAGCTGGAAAACTTACATTATAAAAAGAAAATAAAAATAAAAAACAAAAATAAAAAGCTGGGATATACCATGCTAGAAAAGAAATAGTGACAAACTTAATAGTCTATAGATAAATAAAAAATTACTATATGGTAAGAATGATCAGTTGTCCAATTCCTCACCAAAACGAAGTTATCAAGGGACACCACAGAAACTCAACCCTTAGAGGTAAATATCAGCTCTAACAAAAAGCAGGGGGTGAGCTAGTTCTATGTGAACGCCTGAAATTTCTTCCACTTCTGTGATTCTAGTTCCTAACTTTAGGTGCCTAATCTTATCTCATCTTAAAACAAGTAGGCATTAGGAATGTGGAAATCTTAAAGGAGAAAAATGATAGATATAACTACATACTTGACATGTTCTTAGAAATCACCATGGTATTTTTTTCTCTATTACTTGAGAGTACGAAACTAGGCCCAAAGGGTAAAAATTACAGGGAGGAAGATTTTCACTCACTATACTGAAAAAATACTTGTAATAATTTCAAACTTTCTAAAGATTACATAAAAGTCTAAAAAGTGAGTTGATCAATAGTGGCAGTGTTTTCTAGCAGAAACTAGATACAATAAAAAGAATTTCTTAGACAGAGAAAGGTTAGGCTAGACATCTTTTCTAACATTTAATTTAAAATGTAAATAAATTCAAACATATTGTAAACTTCGAACATCCATAGAAATAGACAGAATACTATAGCAAACCCCTACATACATATCAACTAGATTTAATATATCAACTCCTGGATAATCTTGTTAATTTATAATCTCCTACTTCAACTCACCCTTATATTATTTTAAAATATACCCAGATGTCAAACCATCTCATCCTTAAATATTTCAATATTCCAAGGTTCTATGTTTCTATCACTCCAAGACACAAGGAAATTGAAAAGTACACTGATGTTCAGAAAGTGAATTACATTCACCATTTATTCAATCAGTTCAATACATAAACTAAAGGCATCAGAGCTTGAAGTCTCATTGTCTAGTTCTTAGTGACATCTAGTGGATAAAAACTGCAAGAGAAATGGTAAAATTAACAAGTATTATCACGGTATTATGTGGGCAAAAGTTTATAGGCTTAAAGTACTTTAAGTCACTGAACATTCTTCAGTAGTTCATCTTATTTTAACACAGTACAAAAATTTTTTTAAATATTGTAACATTTAAGGCTTCTCATAACCGGATTTTCTCCTACCTATCTAATCCCACTTTGTTTTTTCCTGTATAAACTATCATTAGAAAGGTTCTATAATTTATCCCCAAATATACCATGCCCATTCCATATTCTAGGCTTTTAACTGCCCCTCCTATCTCAAAAGCCTCTTGAATTTACCAATTCAATCCAGTTTAACAAATCAAAATACACAGCTCAATTCCACCTCTTCCAAGAATTCTTCCCTAACTAGTTCTCTGGAATTTAAATTATTTTGAATTCTCACAATTTTATCACCAAAGACAGCAAACGTCTCTATCTTAATCTCTAATATTGGAGATCTATTAGCTTTGTATCTCTACTTGTAAATATAAAACCCACAAAGGGTGCCATTTCACATTTCATTAGTATCTCTACAATGTTTAACAGTGTATCTGATGGACTGATCTACTTATGTTTTATGCAGGTGAAGTAAAATCCTCAGTACAGTGGAATTTATAGCTACAAGGGCCATAAAAGCAAGGACTATGTCTGTATTAGTCAATGTTCTATCCCTTTTACTTTACACAGTACCTGGCTCAATAAATATTTGCTCAACAAATTGTTCATAATCTTATAGAAGAAAACAGAAACGATTATAAAAATGATTACAAACCAAACAGAAACAAGAAAAAGTTGTAGTTTGAGACAAAGAAAAAACATTTTTTTAAAAAGTAATTCAACATTACAGGTGCTTGTAAAGCTTTCCCTGTTTATACTAACAGCACAATTGGATTTGCTTCATACTTATGACCAGGCACATTAGTGCTTACAGAACTTTTATTTTCACATAATCATCATTTCCCACATTTAAGTGATAAGATGAAAAATAATTCCCACAACAGACCTGAAAAATATATCAACTGGACAAACGCTCAGGCACCGGAAGGAGGGAGTTGGTTGGATGGCATCAAATGATTCAAGTGGATGGATCTACTTGTGGTGGTCAGTTTTTAAATATCAGGCATATTAAATGAATCGCTAAATCACTAAAAGTCAAGGTTAAAAAAACTCTCAATGTGTTAACTGATAGTTTCCTATATTATTACTTGACTTTAGATTTATTTATTGTGACAATCAGATTAAAGGACAGAAAAAAAATAAACAAAACACCCCATGTATGGATTAAACCTTTTTCCAACAGTGGTTAGGAATCACTTCTGTCCATACGCTACAAACTTACCCAAACACAACTCAAATATAATTGGGACAATGTATGTCCTTTGATCTAAAGCTCTTTCTAATAAGGTTTGAAATTTAATTACTCTGGCCCCTTATGTTAGGGGATTCTAAAGTACCTTACCAAAAAAATATATAAATTTTTAAAAAATATATATTAAAAAAATCATCCCACTAATTTCCCACTGTATAAGATAAAAGAAGGTGATGAATAGCAAAGCTGAATATGATTCTTCCTAATCTCTACTTCATATCCCAGGTATGTCATGCATCTGAAAAAAATCATAGATGTAAAATAAAATACGTACTTACAGCCTGGGCTTGTTGGAATAATTGATTCTGATTCTCTCTATCTTCTATTCCATCCCCAAGCATCTGAGAAGAAGGTATCCTAGCACTTCCAATAGCAGCATTCAAATTGTTTGGAAAAACACTTGTTCTTTTAGGAGTTAAGTGTGCTGGATCTGAAGAATGCATAGCTATAGAGCTCTCTTTTTCTGCCTACACACAAAAAAAGAAAGAATGACATGATTCTAGTAAAATTCTACTCCAATCCAGTGCAATCAAATAATGCCTATACGCAGCCCGAAATACTTAAAATTGGTGTCAGAGGGAGGTAGCAGAAAGCTTTAGCCGGCAAAGAAAGTAACATTTGCCAGGCACTTACCATGTGCTGTAACTTGCTTTACCCTGTCTAATTCTCACAACAACCTCATAAGACAAGAAACTACAGTCCAGAGGAGTGAAATCATTAGCCCAAAATCACATTGCTGGTAAAATAGCGTAAGTCAGGTCACCATCATGGAGAAGTGAGAAGACCCCTTTGCATCTCCCCCTTAAATTTTCAGCGCGTCAAACATCTATAATCCAATAAAGGTTTCTCTGCTTAACACACAAACACACCTGCGAGATCCACACATCAGCACATCGGCACATCGGAAGGTGGGCGTATTGGAGCACATCGGCAGGGTGGGAGGGAGGGAAGGACAAGGGCGGTGTCTACGGGTGCAGCTGGACAGCCGCTGCGGCCCCAGCTGCCGGGGTAGTGGGGGAGGAGGTGGAGTGCAGTTCCCACACGATGGCCGATGGCCGGGTGGAGGTTAAGAGCGGCAGAAGCAGCCTCAGCGCCCAGGAATCTGGCTCCCCAGCCCCACTCCCACCCGCTATTGCTCGGAACCCAGTAGCCACAGCAGAGATTTGTCTAAGAGCACACAGGAGTGCTGGCAGCTGTTAGGAACAGGAGGCAGCATTACGGGCTTGCAAACCTGGCTCCCCTCTACCCACCACAAGGTGGTGTCCCGAGACCAAGGCAAGCTGGACACAGCAGGGACACTCACCACCATGGTCACTCATGAGTCAATTTCCTCAACAGCAACCCCCTCCCCCTCACCTGCCCCGCGCCCTCAGGCACAACTAGCGCAGGTAAAGAAAACAGAAAGTTGTGCAGGAGCTACAAAGCAACTTGCAGATGGCTACTCCTTGTGCTGGGCTTGGCAGTGCCCAGGCGAGGCCAAGCTGTGAACCAAGCCCCGCTGCTGCTAGTGTTGGTCCTGGAGCCCCTTAGCAAGAGGGAAGGGTCTTGCTGAGGCCAGATGCTGCTTATCTGAGAGAATTTAAGAAAACCTGAAGCATGAGCCAAGACAAGCCATTCCTGTGGAAAAGCCACTGGAAACAGCTTGGGTGGGCCTGGAAAGTTGGGGCGGGGGAGGCCCAGAGATGGCTTTGTGAATTTGACTCCAGAGGAAAACAAAAGCAGAAATAAACAATTGGGAGTATGTCAAACTAAACAGCTTCTGCAGAGAAAAAGAAACCATCAGCAAAATAACGGAGCAACCAAACAAATGGGAGAGGATATTCACAAATGACACATCTAATAAGGGGTTAATATCTAAAATATATAAAGAACTCATACAACTCAACAACAACAGAAAACAGAAAATCAGATTAAAAAATGGGCAGAGGATCAGAACAGACATTTTTCCAAGGAAGACATACAGATGGCCAACAGACATGAAAAGATGTGCAACATCACTAGTTATTAGAGAAATGCAAATCAAAACCACAGTAACACACCACCCTGCACCTGTCAGAATAGCTATTATCAAAAAGACAAGAAACAACAAGTATCAGAGAGGACGTGGGGAAAAAAGGGACCCTTGTACACAGTTGGGAATGTAAACTGGTAACAGCTACTATGGAAAAAAGTAGGGAGGAAAAATAAAGAATAGAACTAGGATATGACCCAGCAATTCCTGTCCTGGGTATTTCCCTGAAAAATATAAAAACACTAATTCATAAAAATATACCTCTGTTTACTGCAACATTAGCTACAATAGCCAAGACATGGAAACAACCTAAGTGTCCGTCAACAGATGAACAGATAAAGAAGATGTGATATGTGTGTGTATATAAAATATATATGATTAAATATTACTACTTAAACATATATACATAAATTTATAAATTACCATTGTGGCAAATGGATAGATCTTGAGGGTATTATGCTAAGTGAAGTCAGACAAAAAGGACAAAAACTGTATTTCACTCATATGCGAAATATCAACCAAAAAATCACAAACTAACAAAACAAAAGTAAACTCATCAATAACAGACAACGGAATGGCAGTTACCAGAAGGAAAGGGCAAAAGGGGTAGAAAGGGTCAAATATAGAGTAACAGAAGGAAACTAGACTTTGAGTGATGAGCATGCAATAGAGTATACAGATAATGAATTACGTTGTACACCTGAAATTTGGATTATTATCCAATGTTACCTCAATAAATTTAATTTTAAAAAAATAGCATGAGCCAGAATTCAAACTCAAATCTGAATCTAAAACTCTGCCAGTTTCTAATTAGGGAAAGCAAAAAAATGAGTCAGAACACAGGAATAAAACATGCTTTCTCTACATTCAAATCTACTGCCCTCACCAGCTAATCAGATTATACAAAGCATGGAATCAAAAGAATGTGATCTCTTTTCTCATAACGTGTGCACTTTCCATTCACTCAGGGCTCACTGCGAACTTACTGCTTCGTAAGACTTCTGAAGCTGTTGTTCTCTTCTCAGCCTAATTTGTTGATTTACTCGGTGTTTGACTTGTCTCTGAAAATGCTTCAAAGCTTCTTGTTTTTTTCTTAGCTGTTCCTTGAGTTCTTTTTCAATCATATATGCTGAAGTCTTTAAAGATGGAAGATAGAAAATAAGCTAAAATGTCAACAGTTTTTCCACTTAGTGCTCTGTTACAAACACAAAGCAGATTTGTTTCAGGAAACAATCCTGAAAAAAATAAACTCAGTCCTATAATCCAAAATTCCCAGTTGAGTAAGGAAATCATGGGAGTTCAGAGATGAGAGTCTAGACGTAGCTAGTGAGTAGCCAGAACTTAAAAGCAAATTACAAACTAAAATCTGGAATTTGTGAATACTCAAATCAAATCTTAATTTTTCATTGAACTGAGAACAAACAGTATCTTCATTAATTCTTAATGAACCAATTCAAATCTATCTTATGTTACCCATTTTCTAAAGTGGGTAAAACAGTCCAGATGCACCAGATTGCTCACCACTCACCAAAAATGCCTTTTTCTAAAATGCCTTCATACTCAGAATCGTGCTCCACTTTTAACCCAGCACACTCTCCCCGTAATCTCTACCTAGTAAAGGCCCACTCAGTCTTCAAGACCATCGAATACCCACCGCCTAGTACCTTCCACAATCCTTACTTCCTCTAAGGTCTCTTATGCTACGGGACCCCTGATTAACATTAATTGAATACAGTTTTCTTGATTCCTCCGTTAGGCTATGATCCCTTGGAGAGCAGGAAATGTATTTAATTCTTCTTTGTTTCCTCTATAGCATATAACAGTAAAGACTTGAGTATAATGCTCAATTCCAAAACATTTTCTAAGCAATTTGGAACATTTTATCCCATGAGTCCCTGATCAGTATTCGCAAAGTCTTATCTTTCTTCTTTAAATACCATATAGTTTTAGCACTTAATCACATACTACCCAAACCCTTAAAATCCTTTCTGGAAATAGGCAGAGCAGAAATAAATAAATGAATATGTACATATATACATACACACATAAATTAAAAAATGAATATACAACATTGCACTACTATATAACATTTACTTCAAACTTGTCTCATTTCTTCTCTGATTTCAGGGACCACTAAGTAAACATACCTCATAAGTTTAACCTTCATATTCAGCACCCTGTCTATTCAGAAGACCTTCACACATTTTGTGCATTCCATAAATATTTACCAAATGCCCATATTTATTACACACTAAGATAAAGGTGGGAATGTGCTGATAAGCGTTTTTTCCCCTGTGACCTAGGAGCTCCCACTCCATCAGGCAGGTATGTATGTAAACACCTTGCTATGAATGTAATGTGGTAAGTGCCACAAGAAAATTCAAACAAATAGCTAAGTGAACTGCTCAGTTTGGTGAAAGACTATAAAAATCCTGTTACAAATTGTCCTCATGTGTTCATTAGCATGCATGAGTATATGAGCGTCATCGTGGAAAAAGGCACACATGTAAACTTGGCAAAATTTCCCTTCATTTGAAATGCTCCTTCCTCCTTACCATATTGAATTAACAGCCTACCCATTCTTTAAGGACCAGCACAAACTGTATTTCCTCATTCAACCAATATTCCCTGAAGACCTACTGTAAGGCAGGACAGGAATGAACATAACATAAAGGACTCTGTCCTTGCGGAACTTACAGTTAAGCTTTCTCAAGACCCCAGTCAGAAGTAATCTCTTCCTCCTCTCTTCCATGACTGCATGCTGCCTGAATCTCCATTACCAAACTTACACAAAACTTTAAGCAATCAATTAATGTTACATGAAGGCAGTGTCAATTGCATGTGCATAACAAGCAAGAGTTTGGGAAGTAAACTGAAATACACAACATACATTTAAGTTATAGCACATATGTTTGTGCTATAGTCCTAATGCAAGAATACATCTTTTTAAGACATACACAAAAAAGATGGGGCTGGAACACCACCATTTGGGCTCAAACTGACACTCACATAGGCTGGGGTTTCCGAGCTATGCGGGGAGGCGGGTTCCACCCACGCGCCCACGGGTACTACGGCCTGGTTCCTCTCGGCCAGCACTGCCAGCACGTCCTTGCTCTTCAGGGGGTTTAAAGCCAAGGGCAACCTTGAGCTAGTCTGAGGTTTCTTGAGGGAGGCCATACTTTCTGGCATCTGTGACTCCTGGTTAGGAGAAAGGAAAAGCATAAAATCTTCAAACCACCTCGTTAAAGCTCCACTTCCTAACTCATGAACCACAGTGCCCCGAAACGGCGGGAAGCCTTGGAGAAGGCAGGAGCCTGACAGAGAGTGGAAGAACGGAGATGATGGAAGAAGGAAAGGAAAAAGAAGTGGGAATAAGGCGGGGGGCGGGGGGAGGGTGCCGGGACGGGGGGCTTAAGCCTAAAATTGCCTTCCGGAAGGAATGACTGGAGGGCAGAGGGACAGACAGACGGATGTGATTGACAGAACACAGGGCTGTACCCAGCGGTGCCACAGCAAGGTAAGACCAGGAGGACTGACCCTAGCAGCCGGAGAGAAATACTGGGGTGCGAGCGCGGGGATGAGAACCTGGTCTGAGGCAGAGTCCAAATAATCCGTATCCGTTTATGGGGGAGACGCTGAACGAGGAGGGGGCCTCGGACAGATAAAAGCCTATTTCTGAAGCCCCGGGGTCCCACTCCTGTTGCGATAGCACCCACAACTCTCCAGACTCAAGCCACTCACGATACCAAAGTAACCGCTTCTAGTTAACCGTCACTTTCGGGTGGGCCGCCCCGCCCCTTAGGCTCCCTGAATCCGCCCCTTCCGGATTACCGGCACCTCCCGGGACTGGGAAGGCGTGAGGGCGGGGCTGGTACGGCTTGAGGGCGGGGTTCGGGCTCCGGGGTCCGTCACTTCCGCTGAGGGGGCGGGACATGGGCGGGCGCAAGGAACAGGGCGGAAGCGAGTGGGTTCGCAGGGCCGTGCTCCGGCACCGCCGCGGCCGTGCGGAGGGCCGGCTGCCGGACCGCTGTAGTTTCAAAGCTGACACCGACCCAAATCTTCCAGGAACAGGGATTCGCCGCGCTGAAGAGCTGACTGGCCGGGCGGCAGGTGTCCCAATTGAGGGAAGCACGGGAAAAGGAAGGAAGAATGCGGGCCTAACAGGGCTCCCTCGAGGAGCAAAAAGTCATAGTGATCCTTTTCACGCCTTGTTCCGTTTACGTAATCATATATTTGAACATCACAGCTTCTTGAGTGGTCTCCCTCCCTGCTGCTCCAAGCTCCGGAGTAATCCTCGACATTTCATTATCCCTGTGAAATACCCACTCCTCCTTTCATTTAACAGAGTTTGAAACCTTTTTATATACCAGTACTGTTCTGGGCACTGGAAGTATAAATAGGAACAAAACAGACAAATATCCCTTGCTCATGGAATTTACAATGTAATGAGTAGTAACCAAATAAACACATGAACAAGTAAATACATGTGTCTGATCAGATGAGTATTGAAGAACAGAAAAAAAAAGCGTGCTAGTGGGAGGAGACGTGAAATTTTACTTAGGATGTCTAGAGAAGACCGCACAGAGCAAAGACTCCAATGCAGTCCCAGGAGATAATGGTACAAGCTAGTGTAATTCTCAAGGAAGAGTTTTATAAAAGAATGTTTCACGTAGAGGGAACACCGAGGTGACTGTGCCCAGCAGGGCAAGAAGGCTGGTGTGGCTGGAGCAGGGTGAGAGGGAGAGTGATGAGACAGGAGGTCCCAAGTCAGGGGTGGGTAATCATGTGGAGCCTGTGAAGCCACGGAGAGGTGCCAGATAGAGAGCCGCTGGTACTCTATGCCTGGCAACCATGGCTCCCATCAAAAAGTGTCAGAAGGCTTGAGAAAACGAAGCTGACACCAAGACCTAACTAAACAAGAGGGATGAGTGATAACCACGATGGCTTTTAACGATCTAATTTCCAGTTATTCCAGTTCCCTCCAATGTTTTGTTACATGATGGAAGAAATTCTTCCTTTTTGGCTTCAAATTGTTCTAGTTAAACTTCTGGCACTTACATCTGAAAAACCTTGACAAATCGCCTTCCTTAACTTGCTGGGCAGCAAACCAGATGCAGGCTCCTGGAAGACTAACTCTGGCAAGGATCTGTCAACTAAACCAGGCTGGACCCTGCAAGTACCACAAGGAGTGAACATTGTGGCTTGTCTTTGAGGCTTTCTACCCTAGCAACTTAGTTGAGGCCTTTCAAGAAAACCGTTTCTCCCTTTGTTGAATCCTGTGTATGACAGTCTGTCTTCTTAGTGTCCCTGGACTCACCACTGGGAATCCAGTTTATTTCTTGCTAATTAAGCTTTGGTTTTTATGGCCCTTTTGCCCACCTTGTCCTCTGCCTCATATCTTGTCTCAGAGCCTCCCTTTTTATATCGACTTTTACTTCTGACTGAAGGCAGCTTCTTTCAGGAGTATACTGTGAACACTAGACAAAGAAGCACAGGCTGAGTCTGCACTATGTGGACTTCAAAATGTGACTGAACAGATTACTTAACCTCTCTGAGCTCCAATTTCCCCTTTAAAAAATCCTACTCACAGAGTTGTTAGAAGAATAGATAAAATAATATTTGAAAAGGCAATTTGTAAAGGGTGATAAAAATGTTTTACCAATTATACTCATAGATTTAGATGCTGCTTTCCCAACTATATTTAAGCACCTAGACAGGGATTCTGTCTTCTGTTAATTTAGAATAAGCCTTTCCCCTTCCCCACATCCCACTCCTCTTACTATTAGTGTAGGTAGCTAGTTAGTATTAATAAAGGAAGGGAGCAAATGGAATCAGACATTAAGCCTAATAAACTAGGGAGCTGAACCAGACAATAGGCCTGATTGACTAGGAAGTTACAGCATTCAAAGGCTCCCCTGGGGACCACTGTGTCCTTTACCAAAGGGACCTAATTTCATCCAGCCCAGTAGCCAGATTATTAGGGGGGGGAGCAGGGGAAATTCCTCTGCTGGGCCCATGCCCAGTGGAAGCCAAGACGGTGCAGGGTGAGGTCCTTTTACTATGGGGCATGTGCAGTAGGAGCCAAGATGGAGACCATAGTGAGGAGACCTCTAGCCTGGGAAAGATTGAACTGAATGAGACACAGAACTCTGGAAGACCTAGGGAATGGATTGGTTACGGGGAGGACTCAGCACAAGACCTCAAAGGATTGCGAAATAGATTGGTCACTTTGGAACCCCAAGTTAACATAATCAAATCTTACCAAAGACCTCTCAGTAACACATACTCGTTCATGCCCATTTGTTTGCATGTTCTCTCCACAGCAGCCACACAAACCTAGCAGTCGTGCAGGCCCAAATGCAGGTTCCAGACACAGCTCTAAGCGCAAACCTGAGTACAGCAATGCAGCACTGGATGGAGTGCAGCCAGGAACAGAGACTAAGCTGGCTGGATGGGGCCAGGGACTGACTGAACTGGACCAAGCTTTGGCATGGACTGAACCGATGGCACAGAATTTTTGGACCCTGGCCCCTCTGAGCTTGATGAAGACAAGAATGGACTTCTTCCACAGTGGGACAGATGGAGATGAGACACTGGGAAGCTGGAGGCCATCTTTTATTTCTACCCCAATAAATCTTATCACCACATCTCATCCTCCCATGCATGGGTCCTGGGAATGGTTTTCTTGCTACTCCATGGAAGGGCCCCATTTCCACCAGCAACTTTACTAATCTCTGGAACGTGGAGTGCTCTTCATACAGAAATGATTTCCATTTCTGCCCCTCCCTATTTGGGAGGAGGGCAAGAGAGGGAGGATGGAAGTAAATCCTTCCGGGACACGATTAGTGGGAGGACTCCATCTGAGGATCCAAGAGAAGGGAAACAATGAAGCCTTTCATGAGTTAGGGATGATTTGTGGCTTCTTCATGATTTTTCAACTCGTTTTTATTTGATTGCTGAAGCTTTAGAAGAACAGAACTCCAGAGATGTTCTCTAGAATGTCCTGGCTTCATCTTAAATAGGTCAGCAAACTGGATCTTTCCAGCACTTTAAAGCCAATTAATGTCTCTTCTTTGTTCCTCTGGAGAGCTGCTGAATAGAGCACGTTCAGCAACCATGGACACGAGCCTGAGTTCCTCTCAGTTTCTGAGGGGGCAGGAATTCTATTCAGAAATCAAATATTTACTCTCAGCATAAAAGGCTTTGATGTTTTGCAGTTTCCAGTATGGAAATGGGAGTGCCTCCTCTCTGCCTCAGAGAAATGGACCCAGGACCCCATACCACTCCGATCACATATTTCTCCCAACAAACCCATACCTCCCGAGACACCATATCTCTGTAGAATGCTCTTTCTCTGAAAGACTCCTCGCACTTACAGAGATCTGCAGGCAGCGAAACCAGGGCTCGAGAGGAGGCTATGGGAAAGCAGGGGGAGACTGACTCGGTCTCCACTTTCTATTTGATGCTCCTCAGCAGCGAGCAAGAGTAGAGCTACCTAGGAGAACTTTAAAAAGAAAAAGGGGGAAAAAATACTCTTTGGGAGGGCCATTCCTCACTGTACAGGCCCACAAAAACTTGTTTTGTTCCAGAGAGCTAGCTAATCTGTCTCTTGTTTGGCAGCTGCTGGAGCAGCAAGGCCCTGCCTCCTCTCCGCACAAAGCCTCGCACACTCCGTGTTTCCCAGGCAATGCCACGGCTCTGCGAACTCTCTGGCTGACACTGGCCTCCTGGGTCCTCCCTCTCTCCCCATCCCAGCAAATTAAACTTATGGTAGGGACAACTCTGGCACCATTCCCATGCGGGTTTATGGAGCAAAGAATCGAAAAGAATTTCAGCAATAGTAGAGGGCACAAGGAGTGGGTAGAGAGGCCACCTGCCATCGTGGGGCGTAGTCAGAGCGTGGATACCGGGGGTAAAAGGTTAGGCCAGGCCTACGACTCACACACACGGGAGGGGAACTTCCACAGAGAGCCAGGGAGGTGGCTGGAGGCCTGAGCTCTGGTGGTGATCACACTGGGTTTCTAATCCAAGCTCTGCCACTTAGTATCTATATGATCTTTGCAAGTGGCTAAATTCTTGAAATTTTAGGTTTTCCTCTTTGTAAAATGGGGTTATAATCTCTACCTAAAAGGAGTATTGGGAGAATTAAATAAACAAATAGCTATAAAGTGCCTGACAGAGTAAAGGGTAGCTTCCCCAGACACATACATGTACACACATGCACACACACATGCTGAGAGAAGTTGGAGGAGGAAAAGTTGGGCAAGACGCCTCCATGTGAGAGTCAGCCCGCAGTCTGAGGAATGAGCCTCACCTCCTCCCTCAGCCCACATCTGAGAACAGATTGTGACTAAATAGCCCCACTCCCTGGCCCCTTGGGCAGGATAACTCTGAAGCATAGTCTTCATTGTCTCTCAGAGTTCCCTAAAAGGATTACGTTGTAGCTGCCCATGAAAGTAATTTGATTGCTATGCAGACTTTATTGGCTTCCTTCCTGCCCGTGTCTCATTTTCCCAATATACTACCTGGCTTTACTGGGCTCACCTTTGCTCATTAAGTTCTTGTCTGGAGGTCTGCCTCTGGGATCCAAACTAAGAAAACCAATATTACTCCAAATTTCCTAAGTCCTAGGTTCTCAGGACAATCTCTGACTCCTAATTCTTGCTTTCTCACTATCTAATCTCTCTCTCATCTGTATTAGTTTTCTATGCTGCACAACAGAATCCCGCAAATTTAGCGGCTCAAAAGAACATGCATTCATTGTCTAACAGTTTCTGTGGGTCAGGAGTGTAGGCACAGCTTAGTGGGTCTTCTGCTCAGGTTTCACCAGAATTCAGTTAAGGTGTCGGCTGGTGGGTATTCCTTTTTGGAGTTCAGATCCTCTTCCAGACTCATGTCATTGCTAGGCAAATTCAGTTCCTTGTGATTGTAGAACTGAGGTCCCTATTATCTTGCCAGCGATTGGCCAAGGGTCACTCTCAGCAACTAGAGGCTACCAGCAGTTGCTGCCATGTGGCCCTTTCTCAGCAGGGCAGAGGTTTTACCAACTGGACAATCTCTCTCGCTGGTCTACTAAGTCTGGGTCTTATATAATATAACCTAGTCAAGGGAGTGGCTACCCTACCCTTAGCTATATTCCGTCAGCTAGAAGCACACACACATACTACATTACTGTGTAGTAAACTTTTCTCAAAGTTTTGCAGAAGACAAAGGAGGGAGGGTTTTGCAGTGGAGCAATGCAAGCTGGTCTTCACTTTTCTTCAGCTCCCCACCATGTTGCCTCCTCCTCGCCTCGCCTTGCCTCTCCTCTCCTCTCCTCTCCCCTTCTTCAGTTCTCTGCTCTAGTCTTCCCCATCCCCAAATTCCTGTTTATTTCTAATGCGTGGTGGTTTATCTTTTTGTTCCTTGACTATTTGTTCTTAAGGCCTTAGCTTCCACTCCATGTGACATATCTAAATATTTTTCTTGCTAAAGACAATCCCCTCTTAAGAGGCATTTGGGTGTCATTTGTTGGAAGATTTCTTTTTTCATTCTGCTATGAAAAATTATTTACAATTTAGTGGAGGAAATAGATATGACTCAATAACAGGAAGCAAATAAAGAAATGGAAGGGACAACGCTAAATATAAAAGTCACCACTGATGTCATGGCATTAGCAAGGCCAGAGCGTGTCCTGTAGTAATGTCAGTGCCAGAACACTCTTCCTGGAGCCTGGAAACAAAGGAACAGGCCAAGTGGGTGGGGACATCCTGAAATCTCACAGTAGAGTTATTAAAATGGGTAGTTACTTACATATCATTCTTGTGTGTGTGTGTGTGTGTGTGTGTGTGCGCGCGCGCGCGCCTGTGTGTGTGTGTTGGGGCGGGAGCTCCAGTCTGAGCTTCAGGGCCCCTTCTGAGTGCTCAGCACAGAGGTCTGAGGGCAGCCGGCAGGGCCGCCCTGGGTGCAGGGATGAGGGGTCAGGATCCCAGGGCCCAGAGCAGGTGCCAAAGGAGGAGTGGCCTAAAGCAACCGTGAACAGCAGAAGGGACAAGAGGACTGGCCTGTGCTGCTCAGAAGAGGACAATGGCCTCGGAAGTGCATCTGTTGAAATGCTCAGAGGAGGAGAGGGCATGAGCCTCGGCTAAGGGAGGCCGTGGCTGCTGTCAGCCAAGCAGTCTGTCTACGCCATTGTTTCTGCAGCCATGTTATGCAGGGCTCGAAACTGGGCCCCGCGAGGAGGCCTGTCAGAGTGGAGCCTTACAGTTTCTGCCCCAGCGAGTTTCCCAGGCTGATGGGGAGATGGCGGCAGTAACCACACTTTCTGGTTCAAAAGGTGGACAGGCAGACTGACAGGTATAAATACACTTTTAAAGTTAAAAAAAAATGTAATGCTGCCCTGACCAGGTGGCGCAGTGGATTGGAGAATTGTCTCATGCATCAAAAGGTTGTGGGTCCAGTCCCCTAGCCAGGGCACGTAGCTAGGTTGTAGGTTTGATCCCAGGTCAGGCGCATATAGGAGGTAACCAATCGATGTTTCTTTCTCTTATCAATGTCTCTCTCTCTCTTTCTTTCTCTCCCCACACCCTTTAAAAAGCAATGAAAAAATGTCCTCAGGTGAGGGTAAAAACAGCTAAAATTAAACTTCTATAGGCCTACTTATCTTACAAATACGTGAAGCAGGATTGCAAAATTGCTCCTTCTCCACTCAGACGAGCTAAGGAACGGTCGTGCTGCTGTGCCTTTGCAGCTGCTGAGGCCTTCCCGCGAGCTTCACAGCCCCAGGGCCAGCGGAGGGAAACTAAATGCTAATCCATCCTGAGCCGTCTGACAACCGCTGTAACGTTCTCTTGAGGAAGCTCAGTCTCTGCTTGGACAGCTCTGGCAGTTGTTCGGTCTCTCCCAATTTCCTCCCCGACCCCAGCTCCTAAGAAGGGTGGACGTGAGTACAGGTGATGGGGCTTTGGTGAACTGTGGCAACAGAAGGAGACAACGTGCGTGGACCTACGTGGCATTTTCAGGATTCCCACTCATCTCTGAACGAGTCTAGGTTGCTCCCTCCTCTGAGGAGCTGCTTGCATGACTCCCATCAGGGCAGCTGGTGGCCCCTGCCGCTGCCTGCACAGTGTGGCCCCTTTGTGCCAAGTTAGTCCCCTGCCAGTTCTTTGCCCTCTCAAGGGAGCTTGTGGACACTTGGAGGCACTTGCATATTCTGCATGGGTGTGAGGAGCCTGAAGTTCACTTCTAGGGCAGAGGAAGGGGGGAATGTTGAGAACTTGCATCCCCCTTTGGTCTTCCTCTATCAGATTCTTCTCTCCACAGTCCTCAGGCTAAAAAAAGGCAGACTCCAGGCTATTTCCTGAACATTATATACTCCTTGTACCCTCAGACAATAAGCCTTAAGGCCTGGCCTTCACAAACAAAAGAGGCCACTTGTCTATATTCCTGTATGAGAACTCTGTTACCCAGTCCACAGGCTGTTGTTCTATGATACTTCAAAGGGGCAGATAAAAGAAATTAAAATGTCCCTTTGTCCCTTACAGAGTTTGGCTTTCAAGCCTTTCCTCTGGCTACTGACTCTAAAATACTATGTCAGAAGCTGAATATAGACTTTCTCTTTTTCATTGTTTACTGGCTGAAACAATATTAACTCTTCCAGAGGCAGACAGGTGCCTTGAGCAGTCTAGGGAAAATTATAGACACAGAAATACAAAAGGGAAAAAATCTTTTTTATGTAAATCAGAACGTTTTTTGGAGTTCCTCTGCGAGTTTCAAACCAACACGTCCCAGCCCTGCTCCCCATCCTTCAGCTCATTGGACTGCACAGTGAGTCTTTAGTTCTAGAAACCTGACCTACTCAGGCTTTCTCCAGGATGTAAAAATGAATATTTTGAGAGGTAACTACTGCAAAACCAGGGTTAGAGATGACCAACAGGGGAGATGTAAACTTTGATCTCATCATGACGCAAAGATTCCCTACAGGAATAAAAAAAATTTTTTTTAAGGCAGGTTTTTTTTTTTTTAAGTTTAAAATGTCATCTTTGTAACAAAGGATTTCCTAGGCACTTACTGAACCAAATCTTCACCAATACCCCGAACAATTCCTACAAGGAAGCTACTGTTTCCCCATTTCCCAGATGGGAAATTGAGAGTTGAGGTTCTGAGCCCGCCGCAGGTCACACGGTTAGAGTGCCCATCCTCCTGACGGCCCTCCTGTGCTGATGAAGGAGCAGGACAGAGCTGGGGTGACTCTCCAAATCAAAGTCTGAAGACAGAAGGAGGCGAGCAGGCTGAGAAGCTAGTGACAGAGCCCCAGGAGGCTGGCTGTTCCAGTGCCACCTTTATCCTTGCTCTGACATGCCATAGAAGATTAGCTGGAGGCAGGGGAATAAACAGAGTGGCTTCTGGAGAGAGGTCCCCAACCTCTGTGTGGCCTCTGGATAGGAAAGAGAACCCCAAGCAGGACCAGACATGTATGAAAATAATGGAATTCAGACCATGGCCCAATTTTGGGGTGGAACAGGGATTTTTCCATGACTTCAGCGGGTCTCTGGAGTCTCTCATTCCCCAGCTTCTCTTTAAAAATTATTTATTTAATTATTTTTAGAGAGAGGGGAAGAGAGGAAGACATGGAGAGAAACATCGATCGGTTGGTTGCCTCTCATATGCTCTCAGTTTGCCTCAAGCGGGGACCAAACCTGCAACCCAGGCAGGTGCCCTGACTGGGAGCTGAATCGCAGACCCTTCGCTTTGTGAAATGACACCCGACCAACTGAGCCACATGGCTCAGGGCTCACTCTCCAGCCTTTTAAAGGCTCTCATACCTCCCTCTTCGAAACTTATTGGAGGGCTGTCCCGGGCATACGCCCTCCTTCTCAGGAGCAAGGAGTGTGCGGTGGAGAAAGGATAGGTTGGGACACAAGGTCCAAAGTAGCGTGTGTCCCAGCCTAGTCCCTGTTTAGCCCAAATGCTCATCTGGCCCCTGTAGTGGGGCTCCGCACAGGCAGGGAGGAAACGCTGCGCCCCTGGGACCCGTCAGGTTGGCCTCCCTGCAGGCAATTATCTTCGAAGCAGATACCCCCTTCTGAACCGGGGATGTAGGGCTTTGAAGCTAGAAAATGCTAGGTCTGAAAGAGAAGAAAGAACAAATCCAGCCACACACAGAGCTCTGTGTATTCAGAGGGAAGTTGGCAGGGTTGCGCTCGGGCAGAGAAACTCCGAGTGGTACAAAGGGACGTGCCCAGAGTGAAGAAATCATGCTAATTGTCCGCACCAGAGCTGGAGAACGCCACCCAAAATGAAGAGAGAAAGGGGAGCCCTGTCCAGAGCCTTCAGTGCCCTGCGCCTCACTCCTTTTGTCTACCTTCTTCTGGTCCAGACAGGTAGGAGTCCAGAAGGGTAAGAAAGGGATCGAGAAGGGAGCGGGGCGTTCAAAGGTGAGGGAGGGGAGCGTGACGGGCCGGCATGCCTCTAGGACGGGAGGAGGGGAGAGAGCTGCCGCCGTGGGAAGAATCTCAGTGAATTCAGGCATTAGTGTTGAATGTATTTCTTCATTCTGTTGCCTGCTGCCCGGCCCCTGCCCGCTCCCCGAAAGGGCTGCATGACTTTGGAGCTCCCATGGCATTCAGGACATTAGATGAAGGGCAATGAGCCATTTCTTATAAGATGTCTTGTTGGCATGGGCCATTTCGGCATTTTTTCCAAGGATTATGGTGGGGCTGGAAGGGATGGGGGAATCTTGGTTTTGTGCTTGCCCAGCTCCCAACCTTGGCTTCTCTGAATGTGAAACAGCAAGAGATGTAAGAAATTTGGAGATAACGAGCCTCCTGATTTTGGAGATTAACATGAACCTACCCATCACCCACCCCATACCATAGACACCTGCCTCCCGTACCAGCCCCTGCCAACTATTTGGAGAATTGATCTCATTTTAAGTATATTTGTTAATGTACACACACACAGGCACACACTGTTCTGGGGAGCCTAAGAATTCACGATTTAGTTGCATGAACAGATGCAGAGATCATTTTAATGAAAACACAGAAACTATTATGAGTCAGCTGTGAAGAGGAAGCCCAGGATCTGAGAGAGGTCACCTATCCCGTCAGAAGCCTGGTGCTGGGGGTGCTGAGGGGGGCGGGGGGTGGTTGGGGGAATACCAGGAGAGGTCACCCGGGAATGTCTGCACTAAATTCGAAAGGAACAGAAAAGTGAGTGGGAGGGGGAGGGGACATTGTAGTTGAGAAAATGGGCAAATGTCCAGCTTGAAATGGCATCTTGTGTCTAGGAACAGCCCAACCGTTCTCCTTTGCTGGAGAGGAAAGTGTGAGGTGAGTTAGGCAAGGCCTTGTAAACCACAGCAAGTAAACTAGCATATAGTTTGTGAACAACGGGGCAGGGAGGGCACCGAAAGGCTTTGACCTGGGGACTGGCAGCACAGGCGTGCACTTTGGACGGCTCGCTCTGCGGTGAGGCGTTGGCGGGGAAACTGGAGGCAAACAAGAGAGAAGAGGAATCCTGTATATGTGTCCTAGGGTGCCTGTAACAGAGAACCACAACCTGAGTGGCCTAGATGTAGGAAATATACTGTCTCTCAATTTTGGAGACTAAAAGTTCAAGATGAAGATGTCGGCCAGGCCCAGCTGGCAGTGCTAGGAAAGGCTCTGTTCTAGAACTCTCTGCTTCTAGTAATTCCGTGGCTTGTGGCAGCGTAACTACAGTCTTTACGTGACTTTCTCCCTGTGCTTGTGTCTGTGTCCAAATTTCCTCTTTTTAGGCCACCAGTCATTGGGTTACGGGCCTACCTTTCTCCAGTGTGACCTCATCTTAGCTTATTACCTCTGCCACAACCCCACTGCTAAATAAGGTCACATTCTGAGGTGCTGGGAGTTAGGACTTCAACATCTGAATTTTAGGGGACAAAATTCAACCCCTAACAAGGCTAATGCAATAGTTCAGGAGAGAAATACCACGAGCTAGGCTTAGAATAGAGGGAATGAGACATGTTGAGATAATATTTTGGAGGGAAAGTCAGAAGTGGGGAGAACCAGAGGGGGAGGTAAAATTTCTGTGTGAAACCGTAAACAAAAATGGGACAACCTTGAGGATATGATCATTAGTATTTCCCATGTCAAGGCCCAAATGCCTATGACACACCTGTGAGAAAATATCGAATAGCCTGCGGCTGGAGGACAGGTAGGTCAGGGCTGATGAGAGGTATTTGGAAACTGTCAGCCCATCGGTAAGACTTCAAACAATGAGATTGAATGATAGCACCAAGGATGAGAAAATAGGCTCAATATCGAACACTGAGTAGCCCCAGGATTTGTAGAGGAAAGAAGTCCCATTGAGGAGACCAAGAAGGAACAGTCCCATGGACAGAGGGAGCCCAGATTGTGGTGCCCAGACTGTGGTGCCAGAAAGTCAAGAGCATGGAGAGTTTTCTGGAGAATCAACATCAGATGCATCAAAAAGGCCCAGTATCCTAAGGACCTAAAAGAGCCTGTCAGATGTGGCATTTAAGAGGTTACTATCAGCCTTACTGAGAACAGCCTCGGTGGAAATTACAAGGACTTTAGGAAAGAGTGAGAGCTGTAGGTTTGGAGACAGTGTACTGGGAATAGGACACGCACATGAAATATGTAAGTCAGAGACGTCCCTAACTCCTTCAGGTTATCAAATGAGAAGGAAAAAAATCATAGATGTTGTTAGTCAATGTGACTGGGCAAAAACAAAAGGGGACAAGGGGCCCAGAGTGTGGGAGATGTAACTTAATAAATATAGCAAAAACTTCTAAATATAAACTATGCTAATAAGATATTAGATATGACCTATGACAGATAAGAAATAATTGCAGACTTAGGCCATTGTACTGCTGTGGGCTTGAGCAATAAAGAGCTGAGATCCTATAAGAAATTTCTGCCATCATCAATATATTAGGAAAAATGCCAACTTCTACAACAAATATGTTCCAAAATTTAAGCTCTTGGCACGAACCATATGGTAGTACAATGAAGTCCCAGGCTAGGTCTGGACGAGGAGGGACCCTGCTCCAGGGAGTTTTTCAGGGACCACGCCGACGGAACTCTATCAACTTTGAAGTGTGTTCCAAATTGTCACCCTGAGGTTTATCTCCGTTTCTTTTACATAATTTTAAAAATGCGTAAGGGGTTCCTAAACCAGCCTCTAAGTGATACCTATCACTTCCAGTGATTCATTGGCTGGAACTCAGTCACCTGGCCACACCTAACTGCAAAGGAGTCTGGGAAATACTCCTTTTAAGATTGGCCCTGAAAGAGGGGTTTGGACCATGTTACCCTAGCTCCCAAAGACTCACCTTAATCTCTTGTACGATGGCAGCAGTCACCAAGCCAGTCTCAGACAAGGAACACTCTGTCTTTAATGTTCTGGCGGTAACGTGGGCTAACGAAGCTTTCCTAAGTCCATCACAGCCCAAGGTGTGGAACATGAAAATGAGGCTTTTCTAGACGCTAGGACTCTATCCTACAGACATAAACGCAGCATGCCACAAACCTAGATAATTTGATTTGCAAGATACTGCTCTCTGGGATCCCATAACTGTTCCATTCTCTAAGTACCCAGTAAGAAGTCCCTTGCCTAGGTTCCCCTCTTTCAGTCCTAAGGTCGCCTTCACATTGTAGGTGCTACATTGTTTGTTTGTTTGTTAGTTTGTTTTTTCAATTAAAATTTACACACAGGAAAATGTGTTTAGCTGAAGGATACAGTTTGATAGACCTTTAAAAAGTGAACAAACACATGTAATTAGCGGCCAAGATCAAACAATAGGTCAGCATATAAGAACCCCTTACAATTTCATTTATGGTTGCCCTGCCCCAGGGTCCCAGTGATATCTTAACTTCCACAACAGATTAATTTTGCAAGACTTTCAACTTCAATTTTTTTAACCTCACAGGAGGACATGCTCATTAATTTTAGAGAAGGGGGAAGAGAGGGAGTGGAACATCAACTGACTGCCACTTATACATGCCTCTACCAAACGCACAACCTAGGCATGTGCCCTGACCAGGAATTGAACCACCGCCGTTTGGTTTATGGGACAATGTCCCTAAGCAACTGAGCCACATGGGCCAGGGCTGTCTTTGAACTTTGTATAAACACAATCATATGCAGGCATACGTTTGTGTTTGGTTTCGTTCACTGAACACCGTATTTGTAAGATTCAGCCGGGTCATTTCCTGTTTGGGGCTTTAGGAATAGGGTTGTTAAAACATTCTAGATTGTATTTTTTGGTTAACAGAAGTACACATTTCTTCGGGGGATATACCTAAGAGTAGAATCGCTGAGTTACATGCATGTGTTAAAGCTTTAATAGATAGGGCCAAACAGTTTTCAAAAGCGGTCGCATCAATCTGCATTCCCAGCAGAGCAGAGGGAGAGTTCTGGGTGCCCACATCTTCACCAGCAACTGTATCTTTCTTTTTCATCTTCACCATCCTAGCGAGTTTCAGGTGGTATCAAATTATACTTTAAAATTGCCTTTCGTGGTTGTTAATGAAGTTGTATCTCTTTCAAATCTTTATTAACCATTTGGATATCCTTTTTTGTGAAGTACTTATTCCAAGTCTTTTGCCCATTTTCTATTGAGTTTTTGGAATTAAAAAAAATTATTGATTTGTAGGAGTTTTCAAAATACAGTTTGGGTATGAGTTCTTTTTGGGTATGAGGTATTTGTGTATTACAAATATCTCCTGCTCTACAGCTTGGCTTTTCACTGTCTTAATGGTGTGTTTTGATGAACAGAAGCTCTTAATTTTATTGTGTCCAACATATCATTTTTTTCTTTTATGGGTGCCACACTTTTGTGTTCTTTTAAGATACCTGTGTCTATTCTTAGGTTGTGGAGATAGTTTCCTCTGTCTTCTTTTTAAAGCAGTATTGTTTCACTTTTCACATTTAGATCTACAATCCATCCAGAACTGATATTTGTGTAAGGTGTGAAGGGTCAGGATTCATTTTTTCCCTGCATGGCCCAGCATTATTTATTGAAAAGAAAAATCCCTCCTCCACTACATGGCGATGCCACCTTTGTCATGGGTCAAGCAGTCACATACAAGTCTGTTGTCAGACTCTCTATTCTGTTCCATTGATCTATTTGTCTGTCGGTGCCAATGTCACAAAGTTAATGCTCTGGAATTTTGTTTGGTGTTGAATTAAGTTTATAAGTCAGTTTGGGAGAATTTACAGCTTAACAGCAGTGATTGTTCCAATTCAAACATAGAATTCTCTGTATATCATTTCGATACTGTTAGCTGGGTACATATTACTGAACATCTACACTCTTTAGAGTGTAGCTACCAAGAATCACTTTCCTCCTGAATCCCAAAGCCCTTCTTCACAATGTCTGTTCCTTGGTTTTCTCCTACATTTCTAAGTGATTAACACTTAAAATGATTTTACACTCTTGTTGGCCCTTGTAGGTCTCAACAGGATAACAGCATGTGGACAATAGCCCCAATATGTCCATGCTCAGTGGTGCCCCTCTACAGCAGGACCAGGGAGGAGTGGGCTGTTTTCTCAGAGCATCACTCATTAGGAAGCATATTAGAGATCAGAATCAGCCTTGGCCAGTGTGGCTCAGTTAGTTGGAACGGTGTTCCGTACACCAAAGGTTGCAGGTTCGATCCCCAGTTGGAGTACACGTGGGAGGTGGCCAGTCAATGTTTTCTCTCTGCATTGATGTTTCTCTCTCTCCCCCTCTCTCCCCCCACCATGAAAAAAATGTCCTTGGGTGAGAATAAAGAAACAAACAAAGCTGGGCAGTGTAGGTGGTCCATCACCAGTGCTCTCCCCACTGGGATGTGGAAATTGGATTTTAAGAGAAAATATCAGAAAGCAATATATATAAAAATATATATATATTTTTTTTAGAAGACCATACTGTGTACTGCCCTTGGATCATTGCATGCTCTTCTGGTCGCCACACCTTAAAAGAGAAATAATAGAGTTGGAGAAAGCCCGGAGACGGGTATCCATGATAGCCGAGGGGATGAAGGGGCTTCCTTGTGGAGACAGATCCAAGCAGAACAAAAAAATCCTTCATGTAAAATAGGGATATACCTGCAGTCTGTAGTGTAAGAGATTATGGATTAGGTGTATATATACCAAATCCTACAATACATGTTTGGCACCATCTCACTGAACTTTTAAAAGGTAAATTTAAGGCAAATACCAGTAAATGGAAACCTTTGCCAAGCAAAAAGGAGCAGGAAGAGGCTATTAGGGGAACCCAAGGCTATTGGCAGACATAGTCTCATACTTTAAAGCTTGACGCTGCTTGGTGTCCCAGCAGGTCAAAATCCTACTTGATGAGGGCCACTTACCTGACCCAGCATGGCACTGTTAAGTTGACGGGGACATCTTGCCATAATGCCCATTTCTTTTTTTTCAGCCTCCAGTGGGAAGAGAAACTTCCTACAAAATGATACCTCAGAGACTAAGGGACAATAATGAACTTAATCACTTCTCGAGGTTGAGTAGTCCTAGTCCTTTTTATTTCTACTGTGGATCACAATTGTTAGCCACTTCCTCATTTTTGTGTCCTGCTTTGGCATCTGTCCCAGTTCTCTGTGTCCCTTGAAAGTGGTGGAACCCTGAACTTAATACAGGCTCCAGTTTTGGCAAGAGTTTTGGAAAACAGTGTTTGCTCGGCAAAATGCTCTCTTTGTCGGCTTCTGAGAAAGACCTCTCCGTTCACTCCTGCACAGCCGGGCGTACCCCTGTGAGTCCCGGGCAGGGGGAAGGCTCCCACCTAGGGGAGGGGAAGGCCTGGGACAATCCGTATGTTGTAGCTTCTCCAGTGTTCGCATCCTGAAGAATAAAGTTTCAGTTGGTAGAAAGTGCAGACTTGAGGGGGAAAAGACATCAGAGAAGGATCAGTAGGACCTTGTATGGGGCAGGGGACAGTGTATGCAGGGGAAGTTCAAGGGAGAGCTAGCGAAGATAGAAGGGGAGGGGGAACACCTTCCACTTCTCCTTGGGGCCGGGACGGTCACTGTCTAGCCTCCTGGAAGGAGGAAATGAGACCCTTGAAGTTTGTGCTTGGGGTTCCTCAGCCCCAGGACGTCTCTGCGTGTATGACACTCACGTGCATACCTCACTGCTCCTCACTGGGTCCTGAGGCAGGGGTTAGATGTTTCCCAACTATCTGATCATCACCATCATGGACATAGGGGGCACAATGATTTTGTTTGGGGACACTTCAAGTCGCACATAACCAAGCCTATTTGCCTATTCAGGGAAAATTGAAAGCTTGCTTGTCTAAATCAAGCCAAGTCTGGGACCTAGCAGTTGCTAGGCAGTTAAATAATCGCAGTAACCAGAACCAGAAGAAATCTTAAGGATTTTGTGGTCAAATGAATTTCAGTCTGATACACAGAGTCATGGGAATTCCTAGTAGCACTCCGAGTTAGTGGGGAGGACGGGACGCAGGTAACTACCACCTCCTCTGCCAAATCAGGAGAGCTGGAACTAGGTTTCTCTTCTTTTCATTTTTATATAAGATCCTGTGGGAACAAAAATACCTTTAATAAAAACAATTTGAAAATAATTGAATTATCCATTCTCCTGCCCCAAATTGACTCCTCTCAATAACAAGCATATATTTCTATATATGGCAGCTTTAATCATGAATAGTTGCTTCTATACTGAAGGTTTTATGAATCTAGCATACCTGACAGGTAATGAATATCAGAGTTGAAAGGCCCCTAGAGATCTTTGGTCCCACCACCTCATTATACAGAGGAGGAAACTGAGGCACAAAGACAGAAAAGAAGAGTCAACTGGCCTTTTCTTGACCACTTTCAAGAAATGATGACCTCACTTCTTAACAAAGCACTTATTCTAAAAATGGATTGAACATGTTCATTAAACTCAACTAAAGCTACTTTGATCTTCCCGACTAACTTTTTAGTTTACTTGCCTCCTGGCTTGGTCTGGGTCTTCTAGGCACAAGAAGAGGAATGAGGAATGGAAAGAGAGAGCACAGCTTCCCCGAATCTAGACAGCAGGAGCAGCTGAGTGGGAAATAGGGGGGAGAAAGGAAGAGGGAACTTCAGAGGCACTGATAGTCAAAAGAAGCAGCTGAGGACACAGAAGGACTGGGACCTGACATATATGTGTCTACTCAGTAAATTCAGCCCTATTCCCAATTGACATCCTCTTCAGAAGACTCTCCTTCAGGTGGTGGTGCCGCTCTACAAGGCCAGGTGACACCAACGAACGGCATCTGTTCTGGCCCAAAAGTGCCTAAGACATCCCTGAAATGTGAGATGTGTCTCTGGAGGGGGCAGCCATTGGGGCAGTCTTTAGACAAGACGGTAAAATCCCAGAAATTCCAGGCCCAAACAAACCAGTGAAACCATCTGGATTACCACGCATTTGACCTAAGGAAAACCTGAGCCCTGAACCCATAAGTGATTTCTCCTAGGTCAAGAACAGGGCCCAAGTCTCTGTGTTCTCTTCACTGCACAACAGTAACTGATACACACTCTGTGCTTTTCTGCTGTGAACCTGACACAGCAGTTGCTCTTGTTATTGTTATTATCCTTATTTTCTAAGTGAGGAGAGGGAGGCCTAGAAAGATGACTTGCCCAAATCCCCACAGCCAGTTAGCTGGTCGAGCCCAATCTTACAAGTCCTGCTGATCCCAAACTTTTTGTTTCACCCATCTTAAACCCCTTTGCTAAAGGGGTACAAATTGCGCTGGAGTTTGGGTGAATTTCCAAAACCATCTACCAAGCTGCAGGGCTGTTCTGCGCTGGCAGGACTGGTAAGATGCTACATGCAGTTGGGGCAAGGATAGAAGAGGTTCTTGGTCTGATGGGAGGGTGGCCCAGTTGTCTTCAGGCCCCTAAAGTCCCCCTTTATTGGCACTGTCTTGTGACATACTCCTTTCTTTGCGAATCTCTGTCCCCATGCTTCCTCCATCACGCCACCCCACCTCACTCTCCTAATTCCCAATCAAGAAAACCTGACAGATTTACCCTAAGGTCTAATGACTTATAAGCTACAGGGGATACAGACGTTTGTCTATTTTGCACAACTGATCTATCCCAAGGATACACAACAGTGTCCTGCACATGGTAAGTGCTCAGTAGATATTTCTATAAATGGAGCACATAGGGTGTGGGTGAGCTGGAATCTTCAAGAAGAGGGCAACGGGGGAAGACGCCAGAGGCAGCAGGCCAGAGAGAAGAAAGGCTATGGGCAATGGGATAGGTGTGAAGGGTGACGGAGGAGCAGAGGGGCCCACAGCTACTGGGGGAGAAGAGAGGGCAGCAGAGACTGAGAAGGAAGGGCTGACAGGCGTGCTGGGCCCCAAATAGGGGGGCGTGAAGAGGTCAGAGGACTTAAAGGTGGGAGTGAGGTCAGCAGCCGAGTGCCTGACGCTGCCCTCTGCCCGCGGGCCTCTGTCCGCAGAGCCCCTGCAAGGGGTGAACATCACGAGCCCGGTGCGCCTGATCCATGGCACGGTGGGGAAGTCGGCGCTGCTTTCTGTGCAGTACAGCAGCACCAGCAGTGACAAGCCCGTGGTGAAGTGGCAGCTGAAGAGGGACAAGCCAGTGACCGTGGTCCAGTCCATCGGCACAGAGGTCATTGGCACCCTGCGGCCTGACTATCGAGACCGCATCCGCCTCTTTGAAAACGGCTCCCTGCTCCTCAGCGACCTGCAGCTGGCGGATGAAGGCACCTACGAGGTCGAGATCTCCATCACTGACGACACCTTCACTGGGGAGAAGACCATCAACCTCACTGTCGATGGTAAAGTGCCCTTAAAGGGAAGGAGGTGGCCCGGGCCCGGGGCCTGGGCAGGGTCTGCTGGAGCCTGGGAAAACCAACACCGGAACCACCGGGGAGCCGAGAGCGAGCTGGTCGGACATTAGCGGTTAGCAGTTAGGAGATACAGTAAACACTTAAGAGTACTTGCTATAGGCCAGAAACTATTTTAAGTGCTTTGCATATATTCACTCATTCAATGCTTATAATAATCTAGGGATAGTTAATATCATCCCCATATGCAGGAGAGGAAACTGAGGCACAAAGAGGTTGAGTAACTTGTGCAAGTCATGCAGCTAGTAAGTGATCGAGCCAATATTTGAACCCAGACAGTAAGACTTAGGCTTCGTTGTTAAGACATCTTAGAACAGTGCTGGGGAGGAAGGGAAGGGAGGTCCACGAGGGGAGGGACCATGGCTGTATTGTTCAGCGTGGTACCTCCTGTGCTTAGTATGTGCTCAATAAATAGCTGGCAAAAAAGTGAGTGAACGAACAGATGGACGGGTGGGTGGTGGTAAAGAACTTGCCCAATGATCTCTGAAGGACCTCTCAGGCCACAGATTGAGTTGTGCTGTGTTGATGGTAGTTAAGAAGGGAAGGGAGAAAGAAGCGTTTTAGCCCCTGGCTCACAGGCTCCCCTCCCCGGGTTTAGTGCCCATTTCAAGGCCACAGGTGTTAGTGGCTTCGACCACCGTGCTGGAGCTCAGTGAAGCCTTCACCCTGAACTGCTCTCATGAGAACGGCACCAAGCCCAGCTACACCTGGCTGAAGGATGGCAAGCCCCTCCTCAATGACTCGCGAATGCTCCTGTCCCCCGACCAAAAGGTGCTCACCATCACCCGCGTGCTCATGGAGGACGACGACCTGTACAGCTGTGTGGTGGAGAACCCCATCAGCCAGGGCCGCAGCCTGCCCATCAAAATCACTGTGTACAGTGAGTCTCCCCACCTGCCCTCCCATTAGGACTCAAAATCCCAACAGTGCCCATGAGGGGCTCCTGGGCAGAGGGAGAGATGGGGCCCACTCTCCGCGGAGGACAGCAACGGGTGGGAAGCAGGCTCTGGGCACGCTCTGCCGCAGGCAGCCGTGTGCCTGGGCCTCCTCTTCTCTTCCATCCCCCGCAGCAAGCTCTCCTCGCCCCACCTGGCGCCTCCGCTGAAGTCTCTCGCTTCTCCGCCTTCCCCTCTCCCTAGGAAGAAGCTCACTCTACATCATCTTGTCCACAGGAGGCATTTTCCTCCTTGTGACCTTGGTGACAGTCTGTGCCTGCTGGAAACCCTCCAAAAAGTCTGGGTAACTCAAGTTCCACACCCTGAGCACCCCTGTCCTTCCATCCACAACCCCAAGTTCTCTTCTTCAGTCTCTTTAAATCGCTTTCTTCCCAGGGCCCTGCCCTTCTTCCCAGGAGATCCCTCTCACCCCTGTGTGTGTTCTGTATGAAACCACCCCTGTGCTCCCAGCCCCCGTGACCCAGCACTGTTAACGATGGTTCCACTTGCAGGGCACCGTTCGTGGGTTGGGCACTGGGGTTGTGATTAGCGCGCTACCTTTTAAGTGTGACTACCTGCAGGTTACAGATAAGGACACTGAGACTCACATTGGTTAAATGACTTGCCCACGTCCGCCACACTAGCAACAGGCAGGATGCAGACTTAGATGTGACTCATTCCAGCCCATCCTCCTGTTAGCAGCCCTCTTTTACAACCATCGTACCGCCCACGTCCCCGACCCCAGAGCTCCTGCTCACACTGGGCAGCTCTGTTCGTGAGTGCTGGGTTGATCTGCAGGAAGAAGAGGAAACTGGAGAAGCAAAACTCCCTGGAATACATGGATCAGAATGATGACGGCCTGAAACCAGAAGGCGAGCTCCCAGCGGCCCACTCGCCGGTCCCGTCCTCACCCAGACCTGCGGGCTGCTGGGAAAAGGCAGAAATGGGCCACAAAGAGGCCGGCTCTGCAGGGCCCCTTCCCCCACCAACCGTGCGCAGGCTGCAGAGCAGGGAGAGGTGTGGCCAAGGTAGGATCCTGAGCCTTCTGTGGAGGTTGTGGCAGGGCTTTGCTGGCCACTTGGGGAGCAGAATGTAGGTGTGGTTGGGTCAGAAGAGGGCTGTGCCTGGCCAGCCACCCCATTCTTTGTCCCCTGCAGCGGACACCCTGCCCCGGAGCACAGAGCAGGAGCGGAAGAACCCCATGGCGCTCTATATCCTGAAGGACAAGGTGAGCAGCTATGGGATGGGCGTCTCACAAACACCCGGGAACCCCTACTACGCCCTGGTGCTTGGTAGCCATACCACTTTGATACGCCCTTATCGTACTCGGAATAACCTGAGGAATATTTGTGCCATCCCCACTTCATAGATTAGAAAAATAAAGTTGACAAAGGGGAAATGACATGCCCTGGCTCAACGGAGGAACTAAGTGGCAGGTCCAGCCTTCCAACCTAGGTCTTTGGACACCAACTCTGGTGATTTCCCCTTTATTCCACAACTAACTCTGTCCCAGGCTGTCGGAGACAGGTGGAAAGGGGACAATAAAGAGACAAAGCACTTAAGTTAATGCATTTTAATATTTACTGAGCACCTACTATCTGCCAGTCACCATCCTATGTGTTGTGCATTGAAAACAAAACAAAACAAAAAAACCAGACCTCTGTCTGCCACCTTCCTAGAGGTGGGAGTATGGAGAGAACTAGCTCCTTCGCTTCGGTTTTCCCGGCGCCCTCGAACACCAGTCGCGCCCCTAGACCGGGCCGCTGTTCTCTCACCCTGGCGCTTGCCCTTGCAGGACACCACGGAGCCCGAAGAGGAGCCTGCAACGGAGCCCCGGAGCGCAACGGAGCCCGGCCCGCCCGGCTACTCCGTGTCACCGGCGGTTCCCGGCCGCTCGCCCGGGCTGCCCGTGCGCTCTGCCCGCCGGTACCCGCGCTCGCCCGTGCCCTCCCCTGCCCCGGGCCGGACGCACACGTCGCCGTCCCGGGCCCCCGGCTCGCCCGGTCGCTCGCGCGCACTTCGGACTGCGGGCGCGCGCCTAATCCGCGAGCAGGAGGAGGCCGGCCCGGTGGGGATCAGCGCCTGAGCCGCCTGGGACCCGTCCTGCCCCGGGGATGCCCGAGCGCCGCGGCCGGGGAGGTCGGAGAGGCCACAAAGCGGGACGAGGGGAGGTCCTCGCGGGGGCGCTCGGGGCGCACGGGTCTCGCCGGAGGACATGGGTGAGCAAGTGCAGATGGGGGACGCAGAGAGGCGCCGGAGAGTGGTTTGGGGGGAGAATCGGGTCGCGTTTGATTTCAGTTCGCTGGCAGAGTTCCCGGTGGATATGGGTTGTACCCGTTAGGACCATAGAGATCATTTCGTTTCCGGCCCAGTCCTTCAAGGATCTTAGGGCAACTAACATCAGTAACCTAACTCCTCTGACTATCCCGTGCCCTTCCCAGGGAGCTCTCCCGCTGCCCGTCCACCTCCCTTCCCTCTGAAGGCCTCCGGCACTTTTTCCGGCAAGCCTAAATTAGAGAGGCCTTTTGCGCAAAACGCACAGCTGTCTAAATACGGGGAAGTCGGATGCCAGTTACAGTGTCTACAGGGCGCTGTTCTGAGCCTTCGGAAGGCACTTCGAAGGCGGCGCCTTGGAGCACCCTTCCCTGGGCACCTGGCCCCCGGGTCCTGACCAGCTGCCCAGGGAGGAGCGCAAGCACATTCCTTTGCCCCCTGACCTGGGCCTCAGCAACAACAAAGGAGTCCAGCCCGCGCGCTCGGCCTCCTTCCAAAGCCTCCCTCCGTGGTACACGCCAAGCGTTCTTCCTGTCGCTTTTCCTAGAGAGAAGAGGATTCTCACCCACTCCCCTGGCCCGGGCAGCTCGTTGAAGTGAAGGACTGTGTTTAACCCCTCACAGCTATGCCTTCTTCCTGGTTCCTTATAAAGCAAGCCTTTCAAACAATCATTGCTCCCGGAAAGGCTGTTGGGCTCCCTCCAGCTGTGGGAGAATAAGATTTGACTTTCCAGAGCAGTGGGGGAGGAGGAGGCTCACTGCTCCCCAGGACGTCAGGGAGAGGAGATGCAGCCCTTGGCTTCCCTCCTGCCTGCGCTGCTCCCAGGTACTCAGATCCCAAGAGGCAGGAGCGGGGCAGGCTCCCAAATCACACAAACATCAGAGTAGGGAGGGGTTGGCCACTGGGCAGCCCAGCCATGCCCCTGCCCATGGAACAGTTTCCAGAGAGACAATAATCCCCTGTGTGAGGAGAGAGGGCAATTAAAAAGCTGAAAGAGGAGACCTTGTGGGGCTTCTGACCCCTGTTCCCTGATGCCTCTAGGGGTCCTTGCATTCTGGCCCCTCCTCAACCTCCTAAGCTCCAGCTCTGACTCTCCACCATCTCATAGAGTAATTCCCGAGGCCCCTGCCCCCTAGTCAGCCCTTCCACCTTTACCTGTCAGCATGCCTGACCCAGCAGCCCTGCCTGCACGCTTCTCCTGGCTCATCGGAGCAGCCGTGCTTTCGCAGCTCCCCTCGGTTAACCAGAACTGCCCCCCCAACCTCCCCAGGTGCCTCACCCAGAGATGACACATGCAGGGCACATTGCTCAGGCAGGTGTGAGGTGCAGCGCTTGGAGACGGGGTGAATGCTGGTCAGCCCTGGGAGGCGGGGGTGGAGGTTATAGCCTGAGATGAGACGAGAGCCCCGCTGGACGCCCCGCCCTGCTGCTGAGCTCCTGAGGGCCCAGGCGCAGCTTCCCAGGCTCCAGCCGAGTCTGCCCAGGATGGGTGGGGGAGGACTGGAGGGAGGGGGTGAGGGTGAGGAAGCGGGTTTTGTTTCTATTTTATTTTGTTTGCATCTTCATCTTTGTATTACTAGCATCTAGCAGAGTGCCTAGCACATACTGGATGCTCAATAAACTTTTGATGGAATGAGATGACAACTTTCTTCCACTTAAGCAAGGAAAACAAAGCACACTTAAAAAGCACAAGTCATTTCCATTTTCTCTTTTCTTCTCCTCTTCACCGTCCTTCCCCCTCTTCGCACACCCTAAATTGTCTTTTCCAAAATCATCACTCACTCACCCATGCACCCATTCAGGTATTCTTTTCATGTATTCAGAACCATCTGTTAATCTACCACTGGCCAGGCCCTGTGATAGACACTGGGGAAACAGCCTGACTATGCTATGACTCCTACCCAGAAGAGGTCTCGCAGAGGAAGATGGATGGGTAAGCAGATTGTCACAGTACAGTATGGAAAACACAATGACAGAGGTAGACGCCGGGCGCTCAGGGAGCCTAAAGGAGCATTGTCTCACCCAGATTAGGGCATTCTGGGGGAGCAAAGGCCTGAATGTAGTCTTACAATAGAAGGATTACTTAATCAGGTGGAGGGGGCGGGGGGAAGCATGGAAGCACACATGTTCCAGGCAGAAGGAGCAGCGTGCAGGAAAGCTTGAAGTGTAAAGGGAGTCCAGCCTCCTCGGTCCTCATACAGTGTGAATTACCCTATATGACAGAAGGTTATATAGCCCTGTAGTGGAAACTAGACTTGGACCAGTGACAAGGTCAGGGAGCTGAACCTGAGACTCCTGCATTAAGCTGGTGTCCTAGAAAGGGTCCCCATCTGGTAGTGTCCCAGGTTTCTAAAATAAAAATGCAAATCCTCTCTGGAGAAAAACATATCCTAACATTTTCATAGATTAAGACCAACCAAAGTTGAGTTTACGGTGAAAGGTCATTAAACACAGAAGGAAACAAATCACCATGAATAAGAGTCAGCAGATTAAGAAGCAATGGATTCCGACCCCCAAGGCCTTCAGATATTGAGACTATCAGATATAAAACATAAAATAATTATATTAGATAAATAAAAGACAAAATTGCAAAAAATTAACAAGCAGCAAAGGACTAGCAAAAGTGACCAAATTTGAAAAGAAATAAAATAGAATTTTTATAAATAAAAATATAATGTATTGAAATAAAATGTAAATGAAAGAGTTCCCACATTAAATATAGACAAAGAGAGTTTGGGGTTTTTTTTAAATTTATTTATCTTTAGAGACAGGGAAAGAGAGTGAGAGAAACATCAATGTGTGGTTGCATTTTGCGTGTCTCCTGATGGGGACCTGGCCTGCAATCCAGGCATGTGCCCTACACTGGGAATCAAACCAACGATCCCTTGGTTTGCAGGCTGGCGCTCGATCCACTGAGCCACACCAGCCAGGGTGAGAGTTTTTTAATTGGAAGTTGTATCTGAAGAAATTATTTAGGGCCTGGCTGGTGTGGCTCAGTGGATAGACTGCCGGCCTATGAACCAAAGGGTCACAGGTTCCATTCCCAGTCAGGGCACAGGCCTGGGTTGCAGGCCAAGTCCCCGGTGGGGGGGGCGCACAAGAGGCAACCACACAATGATGTTTCTCTTCCTCTCTTTCTCCCTCCCTTCCCCTCCCTGTAAAAATAAATAAATAAACCCTTTTAAAAAAATTATTCAGAATAAGGCACAAAGAGACAAAAAAATGTGAAAGTCACTCCACAAAACTCCTTGTACTCAACATCGTACTGGTAGAGCAAGAAAAAGAAACCAAAAGGTATAAATATGGGAAATAAAAAACCAAAAAGTCATTATATTTAGAGTATATGATTTTTCTACATAGAAAACACAGAAGAATCTACAAACCCTTAGACATACACTATCAGGGTACTTCAGTTCTTCATTGTTCTGTAACAAACCACCCCAAAATTGAGTGACTTAAAAGAATAATCATTTTATTTCAACATAATTCTTTGTGTGAGTATTTGGGCTGGACTTGGCCTGGCAGCTCATTTGCTGGGGGTTGCGTGAAGTCACTTGTGCCTGTATCATCCGGCAACTTGAGCTGGAGCTGGACACTGACAATGGCCTCACTCGCAGGTCTGGAGGTTGACACCGGCCGCGGGCTAGGGGGCTTTAGAATTCCCTGCTAGGACAGCTCATTACTGCTCTCTGTGGCTAAACAGAGCTTCTTCATGTGGTAGTCGCAGAGCCGTGTTTTACAAGGTCAAGAGCAGAAGCTGCACAACCTCTTGGGGCTTAGACTTGAAAGCTCCACAGTGTCACTTCCCCTGTGTTTTGTGCAGCAAAGCAATTTACAAAGCCAGCCTAGCTTCAAGAAGTTAAGAAAAATATTCCACTTCTTTACTGGAGGGACAAGAAGCATTGCAAAGGGACAAGCATCCAGGATGGTAGGGATTATTGCAACAATCTTTGCCAATAATCTCAACAGGAGGTTTAACAAGTTAGCTAAGAATACATTTAACAAAATGTGTGGAAGATCAGTGTAAAGCAAATTATAAAACTTTATCGAAAGACATTAAAGATGGCCTGAATAAAGAAGGAGGTATACATGTCCATGAATAGGAAGAGTTAATGTTATACAGTGTCAGTTCTTTCTATGTATTCAGTCAATTCTACAAGGTTTTCAAAGAATTGGGCAAGCTGAAAGGCACAAAAATAGCCAAGACACTTCTGAAAAAGAAGGGGGCAGCCTACCAGATACCTATTTTGCGTTGCTCTCAGACCATCATGAACCACCGATGTTGTGGCTGGACCCACCTTTGTGGTTCTTATTGTGATTGCAACGTGCCCTTCAGCAGAAACCACCAAGAAACTTTGAAAAAAAATAAAGGCTGTTACTCATGGGACCTGGAAATGACACAGCGCACCTGGGGCCACACAGCAAGGTTGTGGGTCTAGGGTTGCATGGGCTCACTCTTGATTGGTGGATTCAAAACACAAGAGCAAGAATTTAAAGCAGGGAAGAAAAAAAATTGACAAGTGACCCAAAATGGTCAGTTATTGAAATCAGTCAAGATCTCTAAAACAAAGAAGCCTCAGCAGGGGGAGGCAGGCCGGCTCTTTGTCTAGTGGTGTGGTTGACAATGTGTTTATTTAAAACAGCCTTCATTGAAGCAGATGCCACTTGGAAATAGATGCCTTGGAAATCAAAGCTTAAGTAAGGCACTTGCATTATGAAGAATAAGAAAAAGAAAAACACCTGTTGCAGCTCATACTACAATATCAAAACTTATTACACAGCTCTAGTAATTGAGATCATGTGGTGTTCATGCAGGAATAGACAAATGGGCCGATGAAACAAGCTATACATATATGAATATTTGATGTGTGACCGAGGAATCATTACCAGGCGCCAGTACTGAGTAATAAGTAGTGCTGGGATTATTGGTTACTATCTGGAAAAAACAAAATGTGCCCCTACCTCAAGCTATATAAAATAATCAATTAGTGACAAGTCAAAGACTTAATGTGAAAAATTTAAACTTTAAGAAGACAATATTTCAGAGTAATTTTGACTCTGGTGTAGAGATTTTCTTTAAAATCAGAAAGCAGAGCCCTGGCTGGGTAGCTCAGTTGGTTAGAGCGTCGTCCTATACACCAAAATGTTGCAGAATCGTACAGACAATTTCACAGACAAGGAAAGCGGGGCTCAGAGAGATTGTGTGACTTATTCAAGGTCTCTCTGCCTGTGGTTCCAGGATCTGGACCTTGTGTAACTGACTTCAGTCCCACCTGAATTCTCACCTTTTACCCCATCAGCTTGGCCAGCGGACGTCCCTGGCTGCATCTTCTGAGAACACGAAATAAGAAGTCAGGAGCCAGAAGTGGAAAAACTTCCTCTGCAGGGTCCTGTAGAAGGGCACTCCATCCCTGCCCTCTCTCTCCCCTCTTACAAGCAGCTATGAGTTACTCACAAAACACAAAACTCTGAAACCAGAGGGCAAAGCAAGGTGCTCTCTCAGTTGGCCACTGGGTCTGTACATCACCTGGCCAAGGAGCAGAGCGTCCTTAAAATCGAAGGCAACTCCCACTGACTAATTATCCCTCTGACTCATGCCATCAGCTCTTCCTTAGTGTGCGGAAGTGAAACAGCCAGGATGTAGTGGGCCAGGCTGTTGGAAATGAGCACTGTGGTGTCTGGGGGCTCTTCAGACTGATCTTATTCTCGGGAAGTCCCCTTGGCCATCACTCCCTGGACCCCCGAGTGCCCTCGATGTTTGAACCAAGTGAGGGGAAGGAGCACTAACGTGCTACAGAAATAGCTCAGAGTAATCGGCCCCTTCTATCCCCATCTGTTCTTAGCACTAGGCTCTCCAGAGCCCGGCAACAGAGAGGCGAGAATGGAATGCAAGAGAATGGAATGCAGTGGAGAGAAAAGTAAGGCAATGCAATACAATGCAATGCGATGCAATGCAATACAGTGCAATGGAGGCATTCTCTGGGCACAAGGCTCGTGACTGTGGGACCAGGACCATCGCTCAGGCTGCCGCAGCCTCGGGGGCTCTGTTCCTGCAGTAGAGCCCTGCACCTCTCCTCACTGTATCACCTGTCCTTTCTCACTCAGCTGAGGGCAGGGCTAGTCATGAATCTGAATTCCTTCGGCACTTGCCATCTTTTCCCCTGAGGGAAACTTACACCATCTTTCTGGATTATGCACATTTGAGTAAAATCACGTTGGCATTAAATCGTTAGCAGAGAACATGGTTAATCTTACAAATCCAACGTGTAAGCAGAAGAGACTACCAAAGGACTGCAACAGCGACGTTCTTGGGGAGCAAGTGGTCAGGGGGCCAGACAGCCCCGGGGACTCTCAGTTGGCAGAGTGTGCAGTGAATTCACCTGTCTCACCGCGTCCTCGCCGACCTCACCGTCCATATGCATACCCCCTTTGTCGCTCGGGCTCCACAGATCCTTGGCCCTGTAAGCTCTGCTCCGCTCCGCCTGATGCACGCGCCGTGGGCTTTGTCACTGCCCTCGGCTCCTCTACTTCTGAAATACCAAGCTATTCCCTGATCCTGATTTCTGTCCTTCCAGCTCTGTCGCTCTGCCTATCCTCCACCCCCTGGAAGTGCTCAGGTTGTTGAAACCCTGGTGTTCTCTTGCTGTAATTGTCTTAATCAGCCTTGGTCCGCGTTTGAGGCAGAAGAGGAGTGGTGATGGAGGCCTTCCCTCCTCTCGACAGGCGACAGGCGGTGAGGGCCACGGCTGTGGCTGGCACTGAGGCCAGGCTGGGAAGGGGGGAGGAAGGGAGGGAGTCAGCTGGGTTAGGGGCCCCGCAGAGGAGCTGGCCGGGAACAATTGGAAACAAAGGCTGGACAGTCTTCCTTTGAGCCCCCAGAGCCCAGCCTTGGCTTTCCGGGAGCAGCTCCAGGAAATGGCTGAGATTCCAGATTTGGGAGGAAAAGACCTGTAAACAGGAGGTGGGCTCGGAGAGGGGAGTGCAGCCTCGAGGGAGCAGGCTGGGGAGCAGCGGTGTGAGCACTGACATCCAGGGCTCAGAAGCCACAGGCCTGTCTGCGGCAGGCACAGGCTTCCAGGGCAGGAAAGACTCTTAAAGGTCATTGACTCAAACCGCCATTCCAGGGCCTGAGAAGTACCCCTGTCGAGGATGCTGGAATAGTTTCAGTGCCGGGGGCGTGCACAAAAATAACAACCTTGGTTAAACTCACTGTTCACTTATAATGCATTAGGTTACTGTTCTAAGCGATTTATGTTTTATCTCATCTCATTCTTATTCTGGCCATCAAGACGTGCACTACTATTATTTTTCCCACTTACAGATAAGGAAAGTGGCTCATGGGTGTTAAGGAACGTGCCCTAGGTCTACCGGAAGCTTATTTCAGCTGTCTCTGAGCTGAATGGGAATACCCGGCGGCCCTCTCCAGCTTATCCAGAGCCTCTGTGTCCTTCCTATCTTCCGCCCTCCCCTCCCCACCCCACCCCCAGCCCCATCTGCCCTTGGGGAATAGGCTGAGGAAGGACCGCTCCACTCCACTTAGTTCCCTCAGCCCGCAGCACACTGTCCCCTGTCCTCGGCTGCTCCCTGCTGTGCCCAGGGCTCCCACCTCTGGGTTTCTGCTCCACTCTAGCAAGGGCCACTCAGAAGCAGAGGAATAAGGGTGAGGATTCAAGGTTTAAATAGAGGCTTAGGGTTAAAGGATCAAGGCTGTGGTTACAGTTACGGTTAGTGTGAGGATTACCTTTAAGAAATCCCTGACTAGCCCTGGCTGGTGTGGCTCAATGGACAGAGTGCCAACCTGCAAACTAAATGATCACTGGTTCGATTCCCAGTCAGGGCGCATGCCTGGGTTGCAGGCCAGGTCCCCAGGAGGGGGCACATGAGAGGCAAACACACATTGATATTTCTCTCCCTCTTTTTCTCCCTCCTTTCCCCTCTCTCTGAAAAAGAAAAAGAAAAAGAAAGAAATCCCAAATCAGCATGGCTCAGTGGGTTGCGCATTGTTCTACAAAGCAAAACATCACCAGATTGATTTTGGAGAGGGCACGTGCCTGGGTTACAGGTTTGGTCCCTGACAGGGGCACCTACAAAAAGCTGCCGATCAATATTTCTCTCCCTCTCTTTCTCCCTCCCTTCCCCTCTCTCTAAAAATAAATAAATAAAATTTTAAAAAGAAAGAGAAAGAGAGGAAATAAATCCCAGACAAGATGACCAGGTGAACCTCTGGGCTGGGGCTGGAGTCAGGGGCTGTGACTAGGAGGTCAAGGTCAGAGAATTTCTCCCATCTGGGCTCCTCCCAGTTCTTCAAGGCACCGAGGGCCAGGCAGGAAGCATCGGTTTCCTCAAAGCTGCTTCCCTCCTGGGCAGTCTCAGCCACAAACACCCGCCACCAGCCGGCCTGCCCCTCCTTCCCTGGCTGTGGGCTCAGAGCAGCAGGACAAAGTGCTGGGGACCAGGACGGAGACCCGCGAGCAGGCATGGGCTCTGGAGGAGCGGGCCTCCTCAGGCTCCGGTCGCCCCTGCCTCTCCTGCTTCTGCTCAGCACGGGTGAGTGTGGCCGTCCCCCCTCCTAGCCCTGGCTCCCTCAATCCAAGGCCTGGCCAGGGAAGAGGCTCGCTCCTTTTCCTCCCTTCACCAGTCGGGGCACCGGAGATGACGAAGATGGGTGTGCAAAACAGAGAGATAGACAGACAGACAGACTGAGAGTTCAAAATGCCCTCTCCCCTTTCGGCTAGCTTGTTACTTGGGAGATGATCCTCAGATGAGAGAGGGCAGACGAGGTGTACAGGGCAAAGCGGAGGCGTTGGTACTCAGACCGGGCTCCACCTCCCTTTCCCTTCCAGGAGGCATGGCCCAGGACTCCCCACCCCAGATCCTAGTCCACCCACAGGACCAGCTGCTCCAGGAACCTGGCCCCACCAGGATGAGCTGCCGAGCCTCAGGCCGGCCGCCCCCCACCATTCGCTGGCTGCTGGACGGGCAGCCCCTGAGCATGGAACCCCCAGACGTACACGACCTCCTACCTGATGGGACCCTGCTGCTGCGGCAGCCCCCTGCCCGGGGACGTGCCCGCGACAGCCAGGCCCAATCCACAGTCCTTGGCATCTACACGTGTGAGGCCAGCAACCGGCTGGGCACAGCCGTGAGCCACGGCGCTCGGCTGTCCGTGCCTGGTGAGGCCTGGGAGGGGAGGCCGGGTGGGGCACAGCTGGGGCAACAGGCCGGCGAGGGAGGCTTGAAGGGCTGGCTGTGGGGGAGGCTCAGGCTGGGAACGGAGGACAGAGCTGGGATGGGGCTGGGCCCGGATGGAACCCCTGGGAGGTGGGGCTCTGAGAGGGGGCACGAGTCAGTGAAAAAGCGGAACGGGGCAGGTGTGGTAGGAGACACCAAGGGGGGACATTTGGGGACGCGAGGACTGGACACTGCTCCCTGCAGAGACTCCTTCCCCCACAGTCCTTCAGGAGGATTTCCAGATCCAGCCTGAGGACACCGTGGCCACGGTGGGTGGGCAGGTAATCCTGAAGTGCGGGCCACCCTGGGGCCACCCAGAGCCCACAGTCTCATGGTGGAAGGATGGCAAACCACTGGCCCTCCAGCCGGGGCGGCACACGGTGAGTCTAGCTCCCTTCCCCGTCCCTCCTTTCCTGCGCACTACTGGGCATACCCCGAGGGACCGACCCCTGTCCAGCCTCGAGTGCCCTGTGGAATCTGAGGAAAGGCAGGCACGGAGGCCCTAAGCTTCCTTCCCAAGGCAGGACCCCTTCCCCACGTGGGAGACTCACACACACCTGGCCCTGACAGGTATCCTGGGGTTCCTTGATGATGCTTAGAGCAGAGAAGAGCGATGAAGGGACCTATATGTGCATGGCCATCAACAACGCAGGACAACGGGAGAGCCGGGCAGCCAGGGTGACTGTCCAGGGTAAGGGAGGGTAGCTAAAGTCAGGGCCAATGTGGCGGGGAGCAGGGAGCGGGCTCACGTTAGGCTGGCGTGGTCTGGTTTTGGCTGAGGTTAGGGTATGTGGGAACCCCACTGTGGAGGAGGCTTCCCCAACCTAAATGGAAATAGACGTCTCTCATCCTGGGAGACCTGGGAGTTTGGGTTGCTCAGCAGCTAAGGGATACTCTGCTCTCGAGTCCCTTCACTTGGGCCTGTAGACCCAGCGCAGCCTCATTCTCCCTCAGAGCATCAGGGCTACACGGAGCCCCTGGAGCCCCTGGCTGTGCACATCCACCTAGAAAACGTGACGCTGCTGAACCCGGACCCCTCAAAGGGCACCAAGTCTGGGCCTGTTGTGTGGCTCAGCTGGAAGGTGAGGCCCAGGCCCCGGGGGTGGGAACCAGGCCAGGGCTCAAGAAAGGACCGGTCACGCGCCCCTGAGCCCTGCGACTTTCTCCGGACGCTTTCCCAGGTAAGCGGCCCTGCGGCCCCCGCCCAGTCCTACACAGCGCTGTTCAGGGCCCAGACGGTACCCGGAGGCCAGGGGGCTCCGTGGGCAGAGGTCCTGCTGGCTGGCTTGTGCAGCGCAGAGCTTGGCGGCCTCCACTGGGGCCAAGACTACGAGTTGAAAGTGAGGCCATCCTCCGGCCGGGCTCGAGGCCCTGACAGCAACGTGATACTCCTGAGGCTGCCTGAGCAAGGTCGGGCACGGATGCCCCCAGGACCCAATAATAGAGCCTCTGGTCCCTTCTTCCCTGGGGGCCCTGGAGGGCTGTCCCACACTGGCCTGGGCGGATGGTGGGTCTTCCTCCTGGACTCCCTTCTGCCCTGGTCAGGCGAGCAGAGGTCTCATTGTCATCAGTGTGGCCTCTGGCTTGTGTCCCCATCCCAGCCCTTTCTGCTAGTCCTCTCCTTCAGTGTTCCTTAAAGCCTCTCTCCCTCACCCCAGTGCCCAGTGCCCCTCCTCAGGTGACCCTAAAACCTGGCAATGGCAGTGTCCTTGTGAACTGGGTCCCACCACCTGCAGAAAACCGCAATGGCGTCATCCGTGGCTACCAGGTACCCCCACAAGCTCACACATGCTATCCTAGTGGTGTCGGGACCTCCCTTCCCCTGGCGTCCTGCATGCCGTTGCGCTGGGCGCTGAGAAAGGTGCCTGTGCCGAGAAGCAAGGGACACTTACCGCTGTTGAGTGAGGGTCCGCCAGACCCTGCCAAGCGGCTCCCGACCTGACCTCATTTCACCTCACAGTCCACCTGGGTTCTTATCCCCAATTTGCAGACACGGAAAGGGAGGTTAAGGTCAGGGAACTGCAGGCAGGACGACCCGGGCCCAGAGTCTGGCCTGCAGGGGAAGGGCTCAGCGGCGGGACAGAGCCCCGGGGGCGCTGCTCACCCTGGCTTGTCCTCAGGTGTGGAGCCTGGGCAACACCTCGTTGCCCCCCACCAACTGGACGGTGGCAGGCGAGCAGACCCAGCTGGAGATCGCCACCCAGGCGCCAGGTCCCTACTGTGTGAAAGTGGCCGCAGTCACTGGGGCTGGGGCTGGGGAGCCCAGCAGCCCCGCCTGCCTCGTTTTAGGTGAGGGCAGTACCCACGGGTCCCACGCGTATCCCTCAGCCCCAGCTCCCACCCTCCTCTCCCCCTGTTCCCACCTCCCACTTCCAGCTCCTCTCCCACCTCTGTCCGACCCCCATTGCCTCACCAGCCCCCTACCCCTGAGCTCCAACTCCCATACAGAGCAGGCCATGGAGCAAGCCCCGCAAGAACCCAGTGACCATGGTCCATGGACCCTGGAGCAGCTGAGAGCCACCTTGAGGCGTCCAGAGGTCATTGCCACCGGCAGTGTTGTGCTCTGGCTGCTGCTGCTGATCACCACCATGTGTATCCACCGCCGACGCCGAGCTGGGGTGCACCTGGGCCCAGGTGAGCGGGTGAAGTGGGCTGCAGGTGGTCAGGGCCCCCTGGGTCCCGTCAGAACACCGTGGGGGGTTAGATCTCCAGCCTGATGCTGGGGACTCTAGGCTTCACCTTCTTCCTGCCTTCTCTTAGGTCTGTACAGATATACCAGTGAGGATGCCATCCTGAAACACAGGTGAGAGGTGAAGGGGAGCGGCCGAGGTCAGGGAGGGGCAGGGGGACCAAGGGTTCGTGGAGCCAGGACAGGGAATTGGACGGAGTCTCCTGTGCTCCAGGCAGTTTGGAATCCTCATCCCTGAATCTCTCCTTGACTCCAAGTGAGACTTATTTTCTCTTTCAATAATGTTGCTATCACACCACCGTACGAGAGAGTAAACTGGGAATCGTAAAGTTGGCCACGTGGCTGGCCCTCTGAACCCCTAACCCAGTGCTCTTGTCGCCAGCCTCTCTCTGACAATGGGGACCACTCTTTCCTGCTGACTCATTCTCCTGGGTGGAGAATACCTAGCATGGGGGGACCAGCCTAATTTCTAATTTTCTCTGTACACTCCATGTTCACCTAGCAGGACCTTGGCTTTTGGTAAATGCCTCAACCTATAGAGCCATCTTTCCTTCAGGATAATCCATTTCTGCCCCCTTCCAGTAGAGGGCACCCTGCCCCTACACCACAGATTCCTCCTCACTGGCCGGAAGAGGAGTGGCTGCTACCTCTGCTCCACGTGTGTTTTGCTGCCAGAGCAGGTCTGCAGTTATGAGACAAAATATGGAGAAAGCAAGCATGCTTTTTAATCCTACTGACTGAACCTTATACTGAATAACCATTTTTACCTGCCCACATTCTCCCGCTCTTTACCTCATTACATTTCCTCTGCGCGGTTTCACACCCCAGGTCTGCACCTTTCAACGGAAGTTTACTGAACACCCACTATGTGCCAGACCATTTTGCTGTCAGTTTCTCAGCTCAGAGCAAGATCCCAAGCTGGTGCCGTGTTCCTGCCTTGTTCTGCGCCAACCAGCCTTTCTCTTTAGTTACCCCTGGGCTTTATCTGCTCTGCCCCGAACTTTGTCTGCCCTCCCACCCTGGGACTTCATCCCTGTCCTTGAGGGAGATACCTTCATTCCTTTTGAACAGTCTCCATCCGCCAGGAACGCAGTCCTGACAGAGACATCCATGTTAGTGTGGGAACGCAGCCCAGAGCAGGAAGTGCACAAGCATGTACAAGATCAGCCAGGAGATTCGGTTGGGGAAACATGGGAGGAGGGTTTCACACGTACCCTGACAGTAAGAAGGAAAAGGCCAAAGAGGGCAGCAGGAAAGAGCCTCTAAGTTCACAGGGAAACAAAAGCCGTTTAGTCTGGCTGGGGCATAGCCTGCGAGATGGGTCAGAGAGAAGGATAAGGTTAGGGAGCTGGAAGCCAGACCAGCGAGGCCCTGTTAGCCACGCTAGGCAGCTGGGCTCTCTCCTGGTAAATGGGGAGCCTCTGAAGGTTTCGGGCAGGGAGTGTTTTGGTCTGATCCCTGTTGTTGAAAGATCGCTCAGGTGGCCAGCTTGCCCCCCACCCCCATCCAAAGGGACCCGGACCAGAGGTAGGGGCCAACATTCACGCAGCAAGCTCCTGCTCTGCTAGCCCATGTTTCATTCCAGCTCACAGCGTCAGCCTTACATGGGAGGCCTCTTGTTACTTTTACAGAGGAAGAAACTGCGGCTTAGCGAGGCCGACAGGCTTACTTCCAGGGCCGCTGGGTTGTGGCCGAGGGGCATTTTCAAACTGGGTTTGTCTGGCTCCCAATATATGTTCCGTTCATCCTAGCACACAGCTGTTTCTCTTTAATACCTCCTAGCTCTGGGCATCCTGGACGTCCTCTGATTCCAGGATAAGAAAAGGCACTGAGTTTGGGACATCGGGTCAGAGGTTTTAAGCAGCCTAAGGGCTGAGATGTAGGCAGAATAAAGCCTCCACCACCATCTCTCAGCACCTTTGGCTACCCTCTGGTTCTCACAGCACCCTGTTTCTCATGCCCCCTCTCCACGGCCCCCGTTGCTGCAGGACGGATCGCAGCGACTCCCCCTGGCTGGCAGACACTTGGCGGTCCACCTCTGGCTCGCGGGACCTGAGCAGCAGCAGCAGCCTTAGCAGCCGGCTGGGAGTGGACCCCCGGGACCCACTAGACCGTCGTCGCTCCCGTGAGCCTGCCCAGTGGGGGCCAGGGCCAGCGAGGGAGCAGACGTCCCACAGCTGCAGAGCTGCAGGGGAGGGACACGTGGGCAGGACAAGTTCACCATGATTCCCCTGCCACTTTTTATTGCAGTGATCTCCTGGGATCCCCGCAGCCCTGGTGTGCCCCTGCTTCCCGACACCAGAACTTTCTACGGCTCGCTCATCGCTGAGGCCATTGCCAGCCCCCCAGCCCGGCCCAGCCCCCAGGCCTCAGCCATCAGGCATTGCCCCCCGCAGCTGACGCAGCTCCCCAGCCCCTGGGCCAGCTCAGACAGCCTCAGCGGCCGCAGGGGGCTCTCTTCCCCGCGCCTTTCTGCGGCCCCCGCAGAGGCTTGGAAGGCCAAAAAGAAGCAGGGTAAGGATGGGGAGCACGGACCCAGCCCAGAGCGGGTGGGAGGAGGGACCAGGAGTGGGATGTGGTGGGAGTGTGGCTGGGGCCTTGAAGATGGGGAGAGGTAGCACCCCACGCGCAGCTTCGATTCTCCCGTCCTAGGGGATCCCCGTGCCGAAGCACCCAGCTAGGAGGGTGCCGGCCTTGGCTTTCCCGTATGCCACGCTCACGTTTCAGTTTGGCCGCACCAGCAGCGAGCCCTGCCTCCACAGCCAACTCAACCAACATTTAATAAGCACCGCTTTATGCCAGACACAGGGACCCAAGCGATCCCAGATACGGTCCTTGCCCTCTAAGGGCTCAAAGCCTAAGGAAAGTGCCTGACAGGCACACTAGTCTTTCTAGAACCTGGCAGACTCTGAACCGCGCTGGCACGAAGCCTCCCACTCCCGCGAACAGCTGCATATGAGTCTGCCCAGGCCCGACTCCCCACTTGCTTCCCAGAAAAGGCCTTTCTGCCAGATGTCTCCAACTTCCAGCAACCTGCTTTGACTTTGCGGAGGGAAATAATTAAGTCTCTGTTTCTTTAACAACCACTATGTTAGGCGCTTTGTTTATCTTTATGTCATTTAATCATCACAACGTGTTGACTTGGCATTATTTCTCGGATTTTACAGATAGGGAAAGGGAAGCAGAATTGGGTAACTTGTTCAAAACCCCATGGCAATAAGCTGCAAAACTCAGACCCGAAGTCAGAGGGGTCTGCCCCCAAAGGCCACTTCGCATCTCCCTGGGAGCGTCCCACACTCTCGCAGACTCCTTTCTCACGCCTCCGAACCTTGGCCTGTACGCCATGTGCTCTCTTTCTGGACCTTCTGCACTGGATCGGGAGATTTACTAATGTTCAACAGCCAATTTTCTTAGAGCTTATAATCAGACTTTTATTAAGACAAATATGGATCCAGAGTCATTAAGAGCTTATCTGATATCCAAAATTTTATGACACTAAGTATCAGCAAAGCTGACATTTTTTTCCCCCAGCTTTGCCTCATAGCTATTGCATTAGAAATTCTCAGTGGTAATGAAATACCAAGTAAAAAGAGGTCGCATAAATCTCGTTTAGAAACCAGCTCCTCGCTGGAGAACATGGCTTTGAATATAGCGTAAAGCCCCCCTTAGAACAATAGTGCTGCTAAAGGAATGAGTGGTTTTCTGCAGGGGATTCTTCGGAAAGGGTCCTGTTCTGAGACGGGGCTTCCTAACATCCCTCGGGGCTTCGGTCCTCCCTTCACCGTGCCTCCCTTCACCCCAGCCCCACCCCGGCCCTGCCCCGGGAAGGGTCAGCCACAGTGAGCCTTGTGGACGAATGGAGACTTGGCCCACCTCTGCCTTCCGGGACCTCAGCCGCTACGGCAAGATCATGCTCTGCTCTTGTCCAGAGCCGTGGCCCTGGCTCTACTGCTGTCCCTTCATCCAAGGCTGATGATGATGCTTCATTTCCTAAAACTGGGCGGCTCTCTCAGTGCCTCTACTCCCCTTAACTTACTCCTTTTTCTTACTAATTGACCTTAGTTGGGGTTTGTCTCCATGGTCACTATTATCACAACTGCATTCTCCCATGTCACATCCATTATACCAAGTTCTTAGTCCCGTGTACTTTGCCAGATGCATGCACCGAATATCCTCACTTCAAACAAATATTTATTGCAACTCGGGTATAGCCAATGAGGTTTGGTCTAACCTTGAAAACTCTTTTATTGTGTAGTTTATTCAAAGATCATTGAAACTGAAATCCAAGTCATTCCAAGCAAGGTGGGAGGGTGCTTTTTGTTATCAGGATCCTTTAGAGGAGAGGAAAGGGGCTGGGACAAGTGTGACCTTTTCCAGGACTGTCGTTCTCCCTTCCTTCTCCATACAACCACCCAGCCAACCTGTCCCCATTTCGGAGCTTCTTTAAGAAGCCGGGCGCTAGAGAAGATAGAACTGACGAGAGCAGAGCTAGGGCGCCCGCAGTTGGCCTCCCGACATCACATGACAACTACAGGAAATGTATAAAAACCAAAGCAGCCCAAGTACTAAAGCCACCTTGGGTGGAGGAGGGCCAGCCATTGTGTGGGTTTTCATCCCCAGAGGCTGAGATGATCCAGCCACGGCACACATGCGTCCCCAGGGCCCCGATGGGCGCTCAGCCTTGCCCCTGCTCTGCGCTGCCCACGGGGGCCCCAGCTCTCTGAGCTCAGGCAGACCTGACAGCTCCTGCCTGGCCTTGGGTCTGGGCTTCTGATCATGTGACACTAATCTGAAGGCTGTTTCTTTCCTCTTTTGCCCTCCCTTGCCCTCCTTTGCTTGGTGTTCTGGCTCCTGGTCTTGGGAAACTATTATTTTCTACTTCTATTATTTCTGTGACCCGGTTCCTCTCTGGTTTGAACTTAGATCCACGTGGGTGGCGGCCTGACCAGAAGGCATTGCACATGGCTGGGCCTGTTCTTTCAGCCACCACAGCTTCTCTATTGTCAGAGTTCACTCAGCCTCTTCTCTAAGTGTGAAAGCTGCCACTTCCTACGTGATTCACCTGTGTGAGGTGAATCACGTGTGTACGTGTTTGCACCTGCATCTCTAATAGCATTCCTCAGCCACTCATTTATTCAACAAACACTGACTGTCCACGGGCAGGGCATTGCCTCTCCGGGTGAGGCCAACACATCTTCCTCCTCTAAAGCTCCTCTTCCTGCCCCGCCTGGCCTGGTCTCGGCTTCCTTGTTTGTGTCTTACCCGCGTTCGGCACAATTTGACAATTCAACCCATCTTCCGGGGGGAGAGACACGCAAGTTTCTGAGGGCAGAACTAGCCAGAAGCACGTGAGATTTCGCAGTGTGATAGATGGAAATTAATAGATTCTTTCCAAAAAAAGAAAGAGTATGTGTCTTCACGGAGCCAGAATTACTGAGAATAGTCACGTGAGGATATAGAGATCAGGAAGACTGGAATGTATAGGTTAAAAAAAAAGAAAGCTATTAGGTGCCAGGAACTTTATGATCCTTTTTTTTTAGACAAGAATAGTTTATTTTTTTAATTTTTATTGATTGATTTTATAGAGAGAGAGGAAGAAGGAGAGAGAAAAAATTGATTTTGTTTTTCCACTTATTTATGTATTCATTTGTTGATTCTTATCTAGGACCCTTATCTATTTTTATCTAATTGGAAAAACCATTATTTGAAGTGGGTGTTTATAAATGAAACTGAGGCTCAGAAAGGTTCACGGAGTTACGGAGTTACATGAGGTCACACAGCAGGTGATGGCTCAGCTGGGCTGTGAGAGCCACTTTTTGACTCCAAACCTGGTGCTCCTTCCACCCTATCACAGTCGCCAGGCTGAAGACAGGTAGTGGGGGGAGAAGGTGGAGGAGGTTCTTCCTTCTTTTGTCTGCATTCAAGAGCCCTAGAGCGTAACTGAACAACAAAGCTGAAGAGCGAGCCTGTGGTTTGGGTCTGAGAGGCCCACCCTGGCTCGCCCGCCAATGGCTGGCTCTTCCTCTGCAGAGCTGCACCAGGCCAACAGCTCCCCGCTGCTCCGGACCAGCCACCCTGTGGAGCTCTGCACCTGGGAGTTGGGGAATAAAGGCTCCAAAAACCTTTCCCAAAGCCCAGGTGAGAGGAAGAGAGGCGGTGAGGTATAGGGGCAAGGGCCCACCAGCGCTTACACCTGGCTTCACCTGCCCTTGAGGAGGCTGGATGGGTGGGGTGTAGGGACTGGAAGCTGAGGGGAGGCGCGGGGGCCGGCTGGGGTCTGGGGCTGATGGGGGTCCTGCCATTCTCCTGCCCAGGAGCTGCGCCCCGAGCTCTGGTTGCCTGGCGGGCCCTGGGACCGCAACTTCTCGGCTCCTCCACTGAGCTGACACGCCCTCTCCCGCCAGCCCCCCTCTCTTCTCATGGATCCCCCACTCAGAATCAACAGACCCTGTAAGAGGACTCACGGTCGAAAGGCATGGTTTGGGGTGGGGTGTTAGCTGAGCTTGAACGGGGCTGGGGGGCGGTGAAGAATGGCACTGACCGCCCTGCCATCTCTGTCTCACCCCAACAGACGCTTGGCGGAGCCCCACGCTCCCTCCCCTCTCCCCTTGCCAGCAGCCCCCACCCCCTCCAGCACCCCCAGCCACTCTAGCCACCAGGCCTCTTCGCTCTCTGGCCCCAGCCCAGCCTCCAGCCGCCTGTCCAGCTCTTCACTGTCATCCCTGGGGGAGGACCAGGACAGCGTGCTGACCCCCGAGGAGGTGGCCCTGTGCCTGGAGCTCAGTGAGGGTGAGGAGACCCCCAGGTGAGTGGCTTGAGTAAAACCTGAAGAATTCAAGGAGGCCCATCGTCCCTGCCTCATTCAGGCCTTCCCTAGACAGAATGTCTCCCCCCTACCCGCTGTCTCCCATTTTGCCTCTTCCTAGGAACGCTGTCTCTCCCATGCCCCGGGCTCCGTCCCCGCCCAGCACCTACGGGTACATCAGCATCCCGACAGCGTCCTCGGAGTTGGCAGACATGGGCAGGGCTGGAGGAGCGGTAGGGTCCGAGGTGAGGGGTTTGTTGTGCCCACCTCGGCCCTGCCTCACCCCCACCCCCAGCGAGGGCTCCTTGGCCAACGGCTGGGGCTCGGCCTCCGAGGACAACGCCCCCAGTGCCAGGGCCAGCCTCGTCAGCTCCTCCGACGGCTCCTTCCTCGCGGACGCCTACTTCGCCCGGGCCCTGGCAGTGGCCGTGGACAGCCTTGGCTTTGGTCTGGAGCCCAGGGACGCAGACTGCGTCTTCACAGGTACGTCTGGTCAGCTCCACCCCTTGGAGCGGACACGGCTCCGTAAGACCCCCTCCTCCCCAACCAAGAGGCAAAGCTTTCTAGTCATGGTCTTCGCTGTTGTGGTCCTATGACAGCTCGTTTTTATTAAATGATTACCACGTCTCAGGCTCTCTGGTAAGCACTTTACATACATCCAATAGCAATACCTTTATGAGGAATAGTCTTTATTCTTTTCCAAATGAGGCCATTGTAAGTCAAACAGGTTCATTAACATGCCGGAGGTCACCCAAGAAAACAAAAACGGGTCCTCCCGTCTGAAGGCTGGAGGCAGCCTACTGCAGCCTCCATTCCCCTCCCTGTCACCCAGACTCCTCTCCGGGAAAGGCGGCTCCCAGCTTCTTTTATTTACTGTAGCCCAGTGTTTCAGATTCCTCCTCGCGGGGGGAAGCTCCGTCTTCTCTCTTACCTCTGCTGCGCTTCCTCTCGCCTCAGGTGTGGCTGCGGGGGGGACACCCGGGCTGACCCCTCAAGCGTCTAGCAGAATGGGACCGTCATCTCCATGTCAGCAGAGGCAGCCAGGTCTCCCCGTGCCTCTTTGGTGTTCCCGTCCTCATCTGCTCTCTCAGAGTCCCTACAGCCATCTTATGAACCCCGACTCTACCCTATGCCCCTAAGAAAAACAACCAGGCTTGCGGTGAATGAGAGAGCAAGGAGTATCGGGGCAGAAGGTCCCGCAACGGAGGCAGGAAAGGATGCCCCAAGTGGGACAGTGAAGGGAAGGCGCGGGCGAAAGGCCACCTGGAGATGTTTTCTCTGAACAAACGAACCGACCGACTGTCTTCCTGTCCCCGGGGCTGGGGCCGCCAAGACCCATGGGCCAAGTTGGGTTTAGATTGTGTTTAGGGCCGGGTATTTGCCTTAAGCTGGCCTCAAGCTTTCCGCCCTGGTTCCCAGGGGTGAAGGCCAGCCCTCCACTAATATCTGTACTCCTGCACACAGGCGCCTCCCCGCCTCCCTCCCCCCGGGACGACCTCTTCCTGACGCCGACCCTCTCCCTGCCCCTGTGGGAGTGGCGGTCAGACTGGCTCGAGGACATGGAGAGCAATCACATCCAGCAACGGGGAAGGGGGCTGCCTCCCTGGCCCTCCGACTCTTAGAACTCTCGCCGGAGACATCACCTCAGCTGTCCTGCACCCAAGTCTGGCAGTGGGTGTCCACCGGCCTGGCTTGTGTGGCTCTGGGAGGAGCTGCGAGGGAGCCTGGGTGTGGCAGGAGAGGCAGGAGCAGGGGGTGACTCCACTGTCCTCTGATTCTCCCACGGACTCCCTGAGGCACGTCCCTGAGACCCCCCGAGAAGACACTTGGAACTCCCTCTCCTGTCAGCCTCTGGCCCCGAGGGACGGCTGGGCCCTGGACGGCGGCTCTTGGTCTGTGCGCCTCTGCAGCTGGGTACACCTGCGCAATGGGCCTGCCGCGCAGCTCTCCCTCCTCAAAGGTGAAAACTGCTGAAACAGCACAGAATCAGAGCCAAGCGGACCTGGCGCTTGGGCAGCAGGGAGCTCTCGCCACCTGACGCCCTCGCTTTTCCTCTGCCCTGTCCAAGCGCACTGCCAGCCTGTCTGGCTGAAGGAGCAGCCCACCTCCTGATCTCCTGCCCACGAGGATCACGAGGAGTGGGGGCCAGGGATCTTTCTGAGAGACAGTGGCTGCTTGTGGGGATGGGCCGTGGCGGAAGGGGCCCCTCAAGCCTCCCCTCAGCCTCACTGGACCGTTGCACCATAGAGGCCCCTCCGCTCCCACCACACCACGCAGAGGAAACACAGAGAAGGCTCCGGAGGCAGGCGAAGCCCAGCACCCAGGCAGAGGCTCCAGATGGACGGGGAGGGAGCTGAAGGGAGGGAGGCGTGGAGTGCGGGACAGAAACACCCTCCTCACGCTGCTGCCACTGTGAGCTTAAGGAATTGATGCTATAAAATGGCAATGACTTGGGTTCTGTGAGCTCCTTCGCCGGAGCATCATTTGGAGGAGGGGCCCTGGAGATCCAGGAAGTCACCTGTGCTAGAAAGGGAGCAAGCATTCATTGACACTTGGGAATGTCATTGATCTCTGTTCTGTGACTAAGGGGAGGATTATGCTCATCCGCCAAATTTTAAGCAGAATCTAGAAATGGGAGGGCTGGGGCATTTTCAGGGTCCACTGGTCTTAGCAGCTTCTCCTGAGAAGACAGCTCTTGCTTTCAGCAGCCCCAGCCCTTTCCCCAAAGACCAGTCCCAGATAGTTTCTTAAAATAGACAAAGGAGCTCATTCCACAAAAAGGGGAACCACCTGTCATGGGTGGCCGGTGAACACCCTTCCGCCAAAACAGGGGACCAGAGATGTGGTGGGGCAGGCCTTCCAGGAAGTCACTGAGAGCAGGTGGTGGCACCTTCCTTGCCCAGCAGGAAAGGTCAAGGGCAGAACCCTCAAGTTGGGGGGATGTGCTGAACATGACCAGGGCCAGAGGGAGACACTTCAGGGAGGGTCCTTTGGAAAGACGGTGATAATGCCCCAAACTCCAGAAGCTCTACAGGGGCCACTGTACTTTGGAGGCTGAGCAAGGCAGGCCTGGGGGCCCGGTGCTGCCGGGACTACTGTCCCCTGGCCAGGCCGGGCTGCAGGGGTGCGGCCTGGGCTGGGTCAGGGTAGGGGTGTAACCAGTGCTGCAGATACACATCCTTCCTCTCTAATTGCTTTTCCTTTTATGGATTTTGCTTTTCTTTTAGCTTCCTGGTAAAATTCCTTCTAAAAACATTCCAACCCTCCTTGCTAGACCCAACGAGGAAAAGGGATTTGTACGCACTTGGGTCAAAGTGGCAGGAGAGGTCAGAGCCTGGGCCCAGAGGGCAGGGGCAGTACCCTGAGGGCTGAGGGAGGTTGCTGAGCCGGGGAAGAGCGAACAGGAGGGACAGGGACCTCAGCTAACCAGTGAGTGACAGTGTCTGTGTGTGAGAGGGTGGCAGGGACTATAGCATTCATAGCCAAAAGGTTTTAAAATTCTGTTCCAGCAAAACTGATCACATCTTGGCCAAAGCGGACCAGGAGTTGCCTGTTCGCACACACCCTCTGTGAGGAGGGGTCGGGGGTTCGAAAAGCCTGTTTTTCCTTCTTGAACAGGGTTTTCCCAATGAGCGCCCCTTCTTTGAGTTGTAAAAATTATTATTACCAGGGCATATTTCCTTGCACGAGAGAAGAGTCACCCCCGAGGAGGCACTAAGGGAGGGCCTGGCTTAGTTCTCAGAGAGCAGGACAAGTTTCTTCTGGTTGGTCATTTGGAAAGTCCCTCTGGTTGTAACTGGGGGGACAATGACTTCAACTCCTCTGCGAGGCAGGACAGGTCGGGTCTCAGCCCTGTCCTCATGTAGAGTTTTGACAGAGAACTTCAAAGGGAAGCGCGTTGATAGATGCCCCCTCACGGCCGCCATTTTCCCCACATCCTGCACAAAACCAGACACATGGCCCAGGACTCTCGTCAGACTCTTTATTGTCTTTTTTACAAATGGGTCTCAGGCGGGAAGAGATAGAAATGAAAGAGCTGTCTCTCTGGCTCCTACGCCATTCTTTAGGGAGGCCTATTGTCACTGCTGGGAGGAAAGAGACCCCTCCCTGCTCCTCTTTGCACCCCCTCATTTCCCAGGGGAGGGGCTCCCCTCCAGGCTCCTGGCCCAGGGACAAGCCTTTCCCCATGGAACTGCTGATATTCACATCAAGGGCTATCTCAAGGGTTATCTTGGTTCCTAGAGAGAGAGAGAGAGATTGAGAGAGAGAGAGAGAGAGAGACAGGTTTGCAAGACCTGGCCCAGAGCAAACAGGCCACGGGAGGGGATGTGCCTCTTTCTCATCAGCCTCTCACCTTATCCACTTCTGTGGGACCTCAGCCTCCTCTAAAATGTGTCATCTTGCCTTGACCCTTTGTCACTCTTCTCCAGGATCCCTGAACCCCCTCCTTTCCACACCCTGCAAGCCCTTTTCCATCCTCCTCTTTCCAGTCATCCCTTCGTCCACTCTCCCGAAGCCTCCACTCTCAGTTTTGCCCAGCCCCCACCTAGCCCCCACCTAGCCCCCACCTCTCGGCATTTCCGCCCTGGCCTTTGGCTCTGACTCCGGCTTCGGCTCCGGCTCCGGCCAGGGCCCCGGGAGCCCCGGGAGCTGCCTGAGCCTCTGGAAGAGTTGCTGCCTGCGGTGGAACAGGTGCTGGTGGCCTGGCCCCGGGACAGGAAGTTTGGTCGGCTGTAAGGGAGCCAGGCCTCTTCTGCAGCACAAGAGACAAGGGTAGCTGGGCGCAGGCAGGGGCAGGGCACCACCACCGGCTCCCTGAGCCACCCCAGCCACCACCCCAGCTCTGAAAGAAGAGTTGAGGGCAGGCAAAACGCTCGGATCATCGTCGGGGCTGAGAAGCAGCATGCCCAGCCCACGGCCTTGACATAACGTGTTCAGAGCCCTGCAGGGAACCCCGTCCTTGGGAAAGGAGGGACAAAACACCCAACCCCTATACTTCTCTCATGGGGGCTTCAGTCCTGAGAAAGGGTACAACTTGGGAAGCTCAGGGGATTTTGCTCAGAGGCAGAAACAAATGCCTTTGGTGTTGATCAAATTCATGGACCCAGTTGAAAGCGAGGGGTGAGCTGGGTTGCAATCAGTCCATCGATGGTACCGGCTGTACTGGACCATCAGCCTGCAGTCCTAAAGGCCAGCTTTACCTAGAAGTGGCCCTCCAGCCCGCCCTGGCCCTGCTCACCGTCCGGGAGGGGGCCCCGGTGGTTTCCCAGGGCCCCCGCCTGCATGGCTCTTCTCTCCCCGCTGTGCTCCCGTTCCAAGGAGGACATGCTGCCCGCTGCCCTCAGCCCGAAGGCCCAGCTTGCCTCTTCCTCCGGCGGCGGCAGGGGTGGTGGGGGCAAGTCTGGGGAGAGGCCTGTTTCAGCAGAGCCTCCTGTTTCCCTGGTACCAGCCTCTCCCACCCCCATTCCCTGGCACCAGCAGGCTGCGAATGAACAGCCTAGGATTTGGGTTGGCCTGCCCCCCACCTCCAGCCTCCAGCCCTCACCCTTGGTTTCCGCCCGTCTCCACTGCTGACTGTCACCCTTCCCCTGGCTCAGGGCCCCCTTACCCCCAGGACTGTGCTCCCGTCTGTAGGGAACAGCCTTAGGTTTCTTCCGAATTTGGGCACGGAGCCCTTGGAGTGGGGGCGTGATCCCCCCAGGCACCTGTCGGGCCCTCCCTGGGGCATCAGGAGATGGGAGAGGTGCAACGTGAGAGAAGGTCTGGGGAGAAGGGTGATCGAGCTCGGGAGTGGGGGCAGCGGGGTGAGCTGAGGCTCCACAGACTCACCTGGGGCACTGCTGGCCGTGCTGGGGACAGGGCTGGGGCTGAGGTGCTGGGAGGCTGTGGGGCCAGCCACCAGGCCAGCAGGCCTCGCTTCGTGGCTGTTCAGAGCGGGCTGGGACACACTGAGAGGGGGACTTGGTTCAAGAGGCACCCTCCTGCAATGACATAAGGCCTTAGCATTTGTTCCCTCGACAACACTAAGTGCCTACTATGTGTCAGGCACTGTGTTAGACACGCAGCCTAATACTCAGATGGATGACAAACAGCCAGCCCCCACCGGGCTCCTGGGCTAGCAGAGCATGAGGAAAGCCGTGTCTTTGAAATGCTCCGGGAGTCTGCAAAGTCACTCCAATGGGGAAACAGTCTGAAGGGGGCGAGAGACCTTGTTAGCCTCCGGTTCCTCCCCCAATCACACTTCTACCCTCCTACGGCCCCGAGACCTCTGTAGCCCAGATCCATCCATCCATCCATCCACTGAAGAGATATGTACTGAGGGCCTATAATGCGCAAGGGGCTCTCGGCCTCCCTACCTGGGCGTCTGGTGGAGATGGGGAGTGTCAGTGAGGGGCTGGGGAGGGTCAGGAGGTGAGGGGGTGAGAGTGGCTGTGGACTGCTGTCCATAGGAAGGTGTGGGAGAGGGGGTCTCCCCGCGGGACGCAGGGACCAAGCACCCTCCACTGGAGCTGGGCTCTGCCAGGTGGCTCCTCTCAGGCACTGGCGGGCACCACTCTCCTGGCTCTGAGCTGCGGAAGAGACGTGGGAGCGTGGGGATGGCCTTCCTGCCGCCCCGTCCCTTCCTCTCCCAGCTCTCTGCCCTCCCCGGCAGGGGGCGCTGGGCTGGTGCGGGGCATCTGCGGCAAGGTACACATCCTTACCTGCCCTCGAGCTCCTCCTCGGGCCCCTGCAGGCCGCTCAGCTCACAAGAAGGAGGAGGGGGTGGCAAGGCCTCTGGCCAGCTGAGGGAAGGCGCCTGCACGGGTTTCCCCAGAAGCTTGGCTTTGCCTCCCCTGGGTCCTGAGGCGAGTAGGACAGGGTACACCACCAGGACCAGGACGGGCAGGAAGGAGGCCAAGATGAGACACATCAGAAGGAAGTGCCGGGCCAGGCCCCAGAGGGGAGGTGCGGGGCATGAGGAACTGGAGTCGTACCGCTGTCTCCCTGGCTCCATTCTGGGGGAGCATAGGGGCTCCAGCTGCCCAGGTCCCCTGAGGAGTTGGGAGGGAAGCCCCCGTGGAAGGTCTGCAGCTCCTCCCCAGCGGGGTCAATGGTGCTATAGACAGGACCCTCGGGAGAGGCGGCAGTGCCCCGGGCCGTCTGAGCCAGGTAGAGGGAGATTCCAGCCTCTGAGGAGGAGAAAGAGGGGGGCGCAGGGGAGGAGGCGGGGGCAGACACAGAAACACAGAGGACAACAGGAGAATGGAGGGCAAAGGGAAATCCCACCAGATGGCGTCTTTCCCGGCCGCAGACCTTGCTTCCCAAACCGGGGTACAGGCGAGGCATGAGGGCCACTCCCCCGACTCACATCCTCCTGGGGGCTGACCAGCCTCAGGA